ATACCCAAACTTACATTCTAGGGGATAATACAAAAAGGGTGACAAATTATATTGTGGAGACACCAGACAGGCCTTGAGAAGGTGACTTGTGTCCACTCTGTGTTATCCTCTGAGAGAGCTAGGCAGCCTAGGAAACACCGGTTATGTTCACAAGCTGTAGAGGATCACTGGGTGGGTGGGCGGGCAGGCAGGCAGGGAAGCTACACACAGCCCTGGGTTCATCCTGGCTTTCAGTTGCCATAGACCACCCCATATTAAGAGGAATGTGACATTCGTGTGCCCCAGTTCGGGTGATTTCCTTTGAACTTTAAAAAGCAGGTGTGTATGCGTGTGTGTTTGTGTGAGGGTGGGCACACACACACCACTGTGTGTATGACCCTGTTGGATCTCACCTTCCACCTTGGTGAGAAGTGTGTCCTAGCGTTCACCACTGCCTACGTCATGCCGGTGGCCTGTGAGCTTCCGAGGGTTCTCCTGTGCCCATCTCCCAGTTAGTTGTAGGAGCGAAGCCTTGGCTTCATGTAGGCCTGTCACAGCTTCTTCTGACTGGGCAGTACATGAGAGGTCAGCAAGAGCCCTGAAAGGAAGGGTTTTCTCCGTGGAAGAGGCTTGGGGAGAGGAGGGAAGATCAGAAAGACGCAGGCAGGTCTCTGAAACCTGGCAGCCATGTCCTAGCTCTGGTTCACGTGCCCTCTGAGACCACCTGGGATAAAGAGGTTTTATTACCCCATCTTCTATCTCCCTGTGAACACTCTGGGACTTCAGCTGGGATCGTGAGTCCTTTGTTGACACCCAGTGGATTAGCAGGACCTGTAGCTGGCTGTGTGTAGCCAGGCACACATACATGCTAGTCAATTGATCTCTGAAAGACGAGACCCCGTTGTTCTTTTACACATGCATGCACGAGTGCACAACACACACACACACACACACACACACACACACACACACACACACACACTGGGCTTTGCCTACAAGTTGTATCTGTGTGAGGATGCTGGATCCCCTAGAAATGGAGTTACAGACCACTGTGAACTACCATGTGAGTGCTGGGAATTGAACCCAGGTCTTTGGGAAGAGTTATCCTTTTAATTGTTGTGTGTGATCCTGGGTCTTGGGCTGGCCTTGAACTCACTGCATTTAAGGCCAAGGGATGACCTTAAACTTGCCATCCTCCTGCCACCGTGTGCCGAGTGCTGGGATCATAAGCATGTGTCACTGTGCTTGGGTTTGTGCAGTGCTGGAGATTGAGTTCAGGGCCTAGGGCATGCTAGGCAAGCACTCTGTCAACTGAGATACACCAGCCTACGATTCTGTTACTTTTAATCAGGTCAAATTCAGTTCCTCTGACACACTGGCTGCTGCCATTTCCCTGGGGATCTGTAGTTGTAGAGAGGCTACATGAGGGCATTTTAATTCATCTGTGTAATACTGGTTATATTTCCATGACCTGATTATAATGTGAATATAACCACAGAATCAAGGAAATTACAGAAATAAATTTACTTTTGCTCTTAAGCAAGGCACATGCAAAACTTGGTAGTTGCCGGGCGTTGGTGGCGCACGCCTTTTATCCCAGCACTTGGGAGGCAGAGGCAAGTGGATCTCTGTAAGTTCGAGGCCAGCCTGATCTACAGAGCGAGGTCCAGGACAGCCTCCAAAACAATACAGAGAAACCCTGTCTCGAAAAACCAAAAAAAAAAAAAAAAAAAAAAACCAAAAAAAAAAACCAACAACAACAACAACAAAAAACTTGGTAGTTGGCTTTAGTGTTTTGCAGGCATGTATACCTACATGCCAGAAGAGGGAACCAGATCTCATTACAGGTGGTTGTGAGCCTCCATGTGGGTGCTGGGAATTGAACTCAGGACCTCTGAAAGAGCAGCCAGCGCTCTTAACCCCTGAGCCGTCTCTCCAGCCCCACTTAATAGTTTGAAGTACCAATTAATGAAGATTAATTTGTTTTCAAGGACTAGAAAGTTCCATGCAGGTTCATATGGACATTCATGAGGAGCATCAGCCTTAAGGTGCAGCATGGTTACCACAGGGACCGCCACTAGCTGCCGTCAGAACGGAAGAGGAGGAAGCAGTTTGTCATGAAGGCACCGAGCGCTTGCTGCCGGCTTTTTCAGTGTTTGCGGAAGGCATCTTCTCTCGTGGTGCGTTTCGAGGTGTGAAAACTGATCTTCCAGGAAGCTGTGAAAGCCACAGGTACAAGTCAACATGGCGCTCTGTTTGGGTGGCTGCGCATTAACAAAGTACCAGAGCTGGTATTTTCTTTCTTCTTTTTGTTTTGTTTGGTTTTTCGAGACAGGGTTTCTCTGTATTGTTTTGGAGGCTGTCCTGGAACTCACTCTGTAGAACAAGGCTGGTCCCGAACTCACAGAGATCCGTCTGCCTCTGCTTCCCGAATGCTGGGATTAAAGGCGTTCGCTGCCAACGCCTGGCCTAGAGCTGGTATTTTCTGTAAGAGCTGATCCCACTTGTTCGTCAACAGCTCCTGTGCTCAGAAAATGCGAGGGAAGTTCAGTTCAGGCACTCAGCGCCACACACTTCGGCAGACTGCCAAGGCTTCCGGCAGCAGAGGGATGATCGGAGGGCACCTTGAAGCAGAGCTAACAACTGCTGTCTTGAGCCTCGTCAAAACCCAACTGTGTCCTTTCGGGTCTCGCTGGCCTTTGGAAACCTGACAGAAAGGAGATCTAGCCCTTTGCCTCACCAGGCCAAGGTCCCGGGCCACATCCCTCTTGGCCCTGATCACCCTTATTCCCGTTTTATGTCAGAACACCAGAGGCCCCTTCTCTGTACCCACAGCCCCTTGGGAATCCATCCCTTCACTTCCAGGCCTCTTGCCAGATCGCCTTTCAAGTTTCTGTCACCCCATCTGTGTGTGGATGCCGCACGTAACAGCAAGCCCATGACTCGTCCCAACACAAGCCCTACCCTTCCCTCTGGGCCCTCACCACCGCACACCTCCACGGGGACCAAGGGAGCAGTCCCGTGTGCAGGGGCTGGTAATATCTGCCTCCTGCAGGCTGCTCCCATCGGAGCTTCCGAGGTCCTCCTCTGGTCTCCCACGGGCCACAGCACGCCATTTCTGGGCCTGAGCTGAAGTGGGCTAACCCAGCCCCGAGTTCATAGCTCAGTGATTCCCTGCGGCTCTTACAGAGGGCGAGGCTGTCATCGGCTCCCTCTGCAGCCTGACTCTTCTTGGGCTCCCGTCACCCTTTCCTTCCGCTCCAATGCGCCAGCTAGTCCCACAGCAGCCCTCTTCCATAGCTGCTGTCTCCTGGAGTGCCCCTCCAACTCTCCCGTCCCAGCGGCCCTGGGGCTCGGCTGTTGGCTTTGGTGTAGCGTTGGTCCCAAGCGAGATGGGCACATCCATATGGAGTCACTATTTCATATCAACAGCTCCATCTTCCTGAGTAGTGTGAGGCATGAACAGGCTGAATGCAGAAGGGACCCGCATGCTTCCCCTCCCGCCTGCCTCCCCTCCCGCATGCCTCCCCCCACTAACTCCACCCTCGTTGTGATGGTGGGCGTTCTGCTCCCCATGAGCCGACTTGCGTGTTTCTGTTACAGCCCACTGTCCATTACAGGAGTCACATTCGGTGCTGCATCGTGGCCTGGAACAAAACGCCATGGCCAGGTGCCCACCATTAGAGTGCGCAGAAGCCCTTCCCTTGCCCCGCGAGTCCTCTGTGTTCCTTTGACCCACACCCCACCCCGATCTCAGAAGCCAGTGCCTTATTCAGTGTTTGCGGTGACTTTCGTGAGCATAAAGGACCCAAATATCGGGAACCGTGTCTGTTGACAGCACGGGGCTGGCACTCACCAACTGCGGAACAAACTCCCCGTGGTTCATCACTTACACATTCTGCTCTGGGTCCTCGTTTCTTTTCATGTTTTAGTAAATTGTCCAGAATACTAGGAAACCTTCAGCTCCCAATCTGCTTCCTTATTTTTCTGCTCCCATAGACAGGGTTTCTGGTGGCAGCGAAATCCTTGCTTGCCAAGCCCAATACAAGCCAAGTGCGAAATAAATAAGGTTCTGAGCGGAGAGAGGCTGGACCTCTGGGAAAACAACTCCTACCCAGGCACCGAGATAAGCTCCTGGCTGTTAAGCTAGGTTTGGTGGTATATACCTTTATCCCAGGATCGGGAGAGGCAGAGATTCTGTGCTACACAGAAAGACCCCATCTATCTAGGCATGAAAAGACATGGAATCCTACATATCACCAAGGGAATGGCACCATCCAGAAAGACTCCACACTGCATGATGTAATGTGACATTCCAAAAAGGTAAAACATGGCACTGTTTACAATATGAGCTTAAGTAGGCAGCCTCACCCTCCCTGGATCTCAGCTGGGATACAGGGCTAGAGGAATCCTAAACTGTTCACCATCATGACCCAGCCCTTGAATGATCTGGGAACTGCTACCACAATCCACTGGAGAGGAGCCCAACAAACCCTAACCCTGTAAACGGTGAGGATGATCACTCAGTCCCGCTCACAGCCCTGCAAGGTAGGAAAGGATGTTATTTTTACTTTTTTTATTTTTCAAAACGGGATCTACTATATGGTTCTGAGAGCTGCCTGTCTCTGCCTCCCAAGTACTGCGTTTAAAGGCCTGCACCACTACAATTGGCTTATTTTCACTTTTGAAGCCAAGGTTTATGGCACAAGAGTCTGCTCAGCAGCTTCATTCCAGAGTCTAGGCTCTTACTCATTTCATCCCCTCCCTGGGTGGTCTAAGAGACTTTGGGTAGCACTGTCCAGGGTACCAAAAGCAATAAAGCCTGCACATCAGTCTTTGTTTTTTATAATTACCTTTTATTCCATGTCATTAAACTTTTCCAGGCACACACTTGAAGACACCTGTCTTGTCTGGTCTCCATTCTACATAAGATCTCGTGTCGTGCGTAATCGAACTTCTCAGTCTTAGGAATGACAGAGGGGAGGCTGGAGAGATGGCTCAGCAGTTTGGAAGATCCCCAGTTCCCCAGCACCCATGTGGTAGCCCACAATCTTCCCTAACTCCAGTTCCAGGGGATCCTGGCACTTCCTTCTGGCCTCGAAAGGCAGACATACAGGCAGGTAAAACAAACATACACACACTAGTTTTTAAATGACAGAAAGAGTGGGACACACACACACACTAAATCAGGACACTAAAGTGTGAATTTTCAGGCAAAACTGGGTTGCTAAGTGGCTTTCTAACCTCTGTGACACACTCTAGGAACCAGCTGTTTATTCTTACTGTAATTAACACCTATTATTTGTACAAATTAATGGGTTTCACCGAGACATTTCCATACATGTATACATCACCAGTGTTCTTGAACCACCACCAATTATTTCAAGTACGTACTGACTCCTTGAAATCGGGGTTTCAACTAAATCGTGAATGCTGGCGATTTCACCAATCTTTGGAAAGCAGACTTTCCATTACTTCAGATACCAGTATCGTTTTTGTTTTTGTTTTTTTTAATATAGAAGCGTTGCTGTGCTTCCAAAGGAAAACGTATAGAAAAACTCAAGGATGATTTTTGTTGCACATCTGTTATCACTTGTACGACCTTTCACAGGGCAAAAGGATGGGGTTTCGTACTTCAGCTCGTACAGGTCCGGGTCCCTAAAAAATGCCGGCACAGTTTTATCAGCACACGACCTCATTTTCTGGAGTTCCTGTAACGACTGTGTTTCCCTGATGTGATTTTGGGGAGGAAGTAGCTAAGCAAAACAAAGGGCATGCCATTACCACATCCTACCAACCAAAGCATCCGGGACCGACGAGGCACGCACGCAAGGGCAAACTACACGTTTCTCTGCACCACGTTGGACCGACCGCCCTAAGCTGTGCCCCTCCGGGCGAACCCTCGTGCAGCATCAGCAGCTGGAGGAGGAGGAACCGACTTGAGCGAACCCTGGGGGGACGTGCCGGAAGTGGCGCGCTCAGGTCCGTACTAACGCCCTCCCCGCCACCAACCCCCAGCGAAGGAGGTGCGCATGCTCGAAGGGAGCGGAAGCTCGGATTTCCGGCTGGCTGGAGCGTGAAAGTGCGGGTTCCTGGCTTCCGGGTGGGCGTGCGTGCGGGGTGTGCGAGCTGGTGGCCGGCGGGGCGGCCGGAGGACGGGGCCATGGAGAAGCTGCGGCGCGTCCTGAGCGGCCAGGACGACGAGGAGCAAGGCCTGACGGCGCAGGTGAGCCCCGGGCCGCGGGAGGGAAGGAGGCAGGGCCGCCTGGAAGTCGCCCCCGAGCTCCCGGGGCTGTCCACCTGCTGCCACCCGCTTCCTCCGGACCCGCCCCTCCCGCAGCCGCCGTCCCCGCAGCTGGTTCCGAGGCCCAGGCCTTCCGGAGCCCGACCATCTGTCGCCAGCCCTGGGGCGCCAGGTCTCAGCCTCGCCCTGTTTCGTCTCCCAGGTCTTGGTGAAGGAGATCCCGGTTGGGCCGTGGACTGGAGGCTGGGGAGGCGAGCACGGACGCCGTGCTCGCCGGTGCCCGCGAAGGGGGCTCGCGTTAGCAGCGCATGCTTGCTTTTTTATTTTTTAAATTATTAGCAGAATCCTTGTGTTTGCCTGTGACCCCGGCCTGAGCTCTGATAAGAGGCCTGCTTCCTCCGTGAGAGTTTAAAACAGGCAAAGCAGGAACTACTGTGTGTGTGTTGTTTGGGTGCCAGCACTTTTTGCTGCATCCTGGCACAGACACGGAGCGGCTCTTGGTCTTGAATCGTGTTGCATAAAGGTCCTGTGTTTGTTCCGTTTTCGTTTCCGGCTTCCTTCCCTGTTGGCAGGACCGTGAACCGGTCTGTGTTGAGACAGGCGGAATCTATATCGTGATGTTCAGCTTTTTTTTTTTTTTTCTTTTTGAGACCGGGTCTCGCTGTGCAAGCCTGGAGGTAAGCCTGGAACTACCCAGGTCCGCTTGCCTCTGCTTCCTGAGAACTGTGGTCTGGATTGGAACTGAAGTCCAAACGCCTATACATAGTAGCAGCAGAAGCGGGAGTGGACGCGGCTTGTCCCAAGTTTTCATGCGTCAGTCCTCGCTCCGAGTGTGTGATGTAGCTGTAACCACATGTAGCCGTTTAAATCGAAACAGACGGGAAAACATTGTAATTTTGTTTCCTCAGTTGCACGGCCCACCTTTAAGTAGCTTGTGGTCAGTGGCTGCTGTTCAGACCCTGCCCGTAAGAACGGTTTCCACTGCAGGAGTGGGTGTCTGGACAGTGCTCTTCTAAACCGTGGGCACGAGGAAGTGATCTTGTTTCTCGAAACGGGTAAAAAAAAAAAAAAGTGTGCGGAGAAGAAGCCCATCAGAGGGCAAAGGCGCTGGAGCTGGTGGGCTGTGAGTTTGAAGTGGTGACCCCTCCAGCAGGTCCTCAAGTTCCCACATGGTGGGAGCAGTTAGCATTCAGTCCCAACGTCTCCTGTGTCCGCCTCGTCACAGCCCTGGCAGCTGCTGTTCCTTGGGTCTTTTAAGACTTGCAAATTAAAACTCACTAATTTATCCCCTAAAAAATGGAACTCCTCTTCTCTGGGGAGATGGATACCTGTTTCTGATTCTTTGCTAAACATCAACAAATAGCGTAGTGGAAAAGAAAACCCAGAAGTTTGAGATGGAGGGAACTTCAGAGTGAGCAGACCCCAGCTGGGGAGCAGAGGAAATCCACATTGGCCTGGACCCAAGGTGGCTGTTGAATTGGCCTCAGACAAGATTTCTTTGGTTGTGAAATAAGAATCAACCCTGCCTTGGAAAGCTTAATGCATACACACTGCTCCTGAAGTTGCCCAGGAATTGTGTGTCTGTGTCTCTCTCTCTCCCTCTCCCCCACTCCCTCCGTCCCTCCCTCCCTGCCCGGGCTCTGGATTCCCTGTAGGCTTGGTTCCCCCCCTGTGCTCTCAGGCCGATGGTTGCTTCTGCTCCAAGTAAGTCACTTCATGCTCTCCTCAAGCCCAAGGCTTAGGGTCCATCAGCAGCGTGATGTGTGCTTCCAGAAATGTGCCCCCATGTCTTTCTGAGAGACCGGTAAGGGTTGACAGCCTTCCCACGCCCCTCTCTGGGTGCCGGAGATGAGCCTCCTGTTGTCCCCCTTGTAATATTGGTGTGAAGGGCAGGTCTGTGCTGCTGCGGAGCCTGCTGGGAGACAAGCGTTTTTGTGTCACCTTCGCAGTGGGAACACCGTGGTGGTGGGTGGGCAGAGAAGCTTCCGGTCCCTGTGCACAGGGTAGTCAGCCTCCCCGTTAGGGTGGTTGGCCACGGCGACTGGGACAGAGAGGAAGAGGGATGGGTGTAGAAGTGGGGCCGTGGAGCCCATTGTGTCTCCCGGGCTGTGGAGAAGGTAGCTTTACTGTGAGTGGTGAGATATCAAATCAGTCACTTTGCTGTCACCACAGGACCTGACAGAAACTGCGTCAGGGAATAGAGGGAGGAGACATGGGGAAGGTATGGTGGATGGCTTGAGATGGTTACCCGTAACTGTAAGACAGCAGTTGAGGCAGGGTGGGGGAGAAGACATTGCAGAGTACACGTCCCACAGAGGAGGCAGCAGGAAGAGAACTCTGGGTGTCTCCACCCAGTCGCCACCAACAAGGGGACACTGTGAGGCAGCAAGGTGGCAACTACGAGGACACTTTTCTGTTGTTGCTTTTTAAGGTTGATGTATTTTATTTTTGTGAGTATGAGTGGGTGTGTGTGTACCACGGGCATCCCAGGTGGCCACTGAGGCCAGAAAGGGATCAGATCCCCTGGAACTTGAGCTAGGAATGGTGACGTCACACCATGTGGGTTCTGGGAGTTGAGCCCAGGTCCAGGGCAAGAGCATCTGAGAGCTCGCGCCTTTACCTGTTGCTCTCTCTCCAAGAGCATCTGAGAGCGCTCACCCTTACCTGTTGGTCTGTCTCCAAGAGCATCTGAGAGCGCTCACCCTTACCTGTTGCTCTATCTCCAAGAGCATCTGAGAGCACTCACCCTTACCTGTTGCGCTGTCTCTCCAGCCCCGAGATTAGGGTTTTCAAGCAAGGATTTCGGAGGTGGAGTGATTGCAGAGAGAAAGGGAGCTCTGGTCAGTGGGGGGAATGAGAGAAAACACTGGAGGTGGGTCAAGGTCAGAAGGGATTGGCTGTCCCGTGTTGAGTTTGTCAATCATGTGAGATCCACCACGTGGGCTGAGGTTGGCTCTGTGGCTAGGAGTCCTGAAGAAGACAGAAAAGCTGGTCAGGACCTAGGCAACAGGAGTATGGGTTGGAGCGGCCCCTTGCCCCATGGCCCCAGGGGAAAGGGTGCGTTAGCAGGTGCGCTGTTCAGATGGCCCTGAGGAGAGGAGCAGGCTCTCCAGCCCCTCTCTGCTGATTGCTGCCTTTTTATATGCCAGTTATTTGGGGAGAAGGTGCAGGGCGATACAGAAGTTAGAGCTCTCCAGTTAGAAACTTCAGCACACGTCCCTCTTGTGGGGACTGGACTGGTCTCTGTCCTCGGCAGCTCTCCCTGGCAGTGCAGGTGGTACGGCCCTGAGCCTGAGCCTGCCCATCCTGTCCAGGTACAGAGGTAACTTCAACTGTGTGGCGGGTATTTTGGTTCCCAGGGCCATACCACTGAGGAGTCAGCATCCGAGGTTCATCTTTCAGTCCTGATTCCTTCCTGCGTCTTCCAGTGGCCGCCTGGTCACATGAGTTGAGTGTGACTGCAAGAAGTCCTGAGAATAGAAAGAGGGACTCTTGCTTTACAGGAACTTTATTTACTCCTCCTTCTGGTGACAAGTAAAACATCTGGTGGCGTTGTGATGCGTGAGTGTTGTCTGAGACTAAAGATGTGACAGATGATGGTCTGCCCCTGTAAACAAGCTCAGGACAGAGAGAAGGCTGGGGGAGAGGCTCCCTGCAAATTAACGTCACGTCCTCCGTGAGGTCTCTTACCTGCCGCACACTGTTGACTCGTGGACTCCATGCCTGTAACGGGACTGCCTGGTCATTACGTTCCGTTTTTAAGATCATCACATGGAAACGGTAGTACAAATAATTACATGAGCTTGTTGATGGGGCACAGCTAAATGGGCCCTTGAAAAGGAACTATTATTTGAGCTTACAAACAAGGAAATGACTTAAGCTCTTAGAGGAAAATAAAAAATGAGCATATTTTTCTTTTCTCCATAAATTTTAATATCACTGGCAGATCACACCAACTTTTAGAAGTCATGTTTAACTGGTAGTGAAACTTGGATGCTTGTATGACAGAGCATGTTGTTCTGGTGTGTGTGTGACAGCAGAGTCTGAAGAATGGACCATCAGGTCATTTGTTGAGTGGTGTGACATTTGGGGTTTTATTCTGTGGTTAATATATGTAGTGTGTAACTCCCTGGTAAGAAGGGGCTTTGGGTGTCTATAACCCGTTCTCTTTGCAGCCTTATGTCCAGTTAGGCTGTAAACAGTGGCGTTGCCAAACTAAGAATGTCGAGTTAAAGTTCATTGCAAAGACACTTTAAGATGTGTTAATTAGGGGCTGGAGAAATGGCTAAAAGGGTAAGAGCACTGACTGCTCTTCCAGAGGTCCTGGGTTCAGTTCCCAGCACCCACATGGTGATTCTCAACTGTCTGTAATGAGATCTGGTGCCCTCTTCTGAGTGTAGATATATATATGCAGGCACAATAAATAATTTTAAAAGAGATGTGTAAGTACCGTGTGCTGTGCTGACAGAAGCCTCACTGTTTTGTTTGCTTTTCATGCTGCATAAGGCATCTTGGATGATCTGCTGAGGTAAGGAGTGATAACCAAAGGTATTGTAAGATGGTGCGCACGGATTAAAACGCCCTGAGCTGGCGGTCTTTTCTTAAGTGTATGTGGTAATGTTGTTTAGAATTTAAACTTTGAAATAGAAATTCTTGTGAATTTCTAGTTTCTATCTCTGAACTGTCATGGAGTTGAGGTTGGCTTTGAACTCCTGGTCCTCCTGTGTCTGCTTCCCAAGTACTAGGACTATAGATGTGCACTGCCATGCCTGGCCACATTTCTAGTTTCTTTAAACATCTACTGACAGTTTTACAGCTCATTGGGAAGGTAATTTTTCATAGTACTGGACAATTTCGAAGTATTTAATTATGATTATGTGGTAAATTGTCATATTGTCCAAAGAATATATAGGTTTGCTACTTCCTGCCAAATCTGGGTAGAGGGGCTGGAGAAGATGGCTCAGTGGTTAAAAATGTGGCTGCTCTTCCAGAGGTCCTGGGTTCAATCCCCAGCACCCACATGGTGACTCTCAGCCATCTATAGCAGAATCTGTTGCCTTCTTCTGTATGATGCCCTCGCCTGGCATAAGGTTGTATGTGCAGAGAGAACACTCACATACATCAAATAAATAAATAAATCTTTTAAAATTTGGATAGAATTTACATAGCTTATAGAAATGTTGGTCTATAAGAAGATTTTATTCAGAAATTTTGCCTGCAGAGTTCAGGAGCTTTGCAGTGTTTCTCAGAAGTTTGGCTATAATGAACTGTTGTAATGGAGGTTGCCAGCGGTGAGTGTTGTGGGTCCCTGCGGGTGCCCGTCCCAGGCCCCTCCTCGCGTCTCCAGTCCAGCACCGTTGCTGTTTCTGTGCAGGCTCTGCACAGTCACCCCTATGTGCCTCTAGCCTACAGTCAGGTATCACCTAAGGCAAAGGCCCAAAAGCCGGCCCCTCCTTAGTCTGGACATCCATTGCATGCGGCTCTGGGTGAGCGCCCCCTTGCTGGGTGCATTCCATTCCTCTCCAGCCTCCCCATTTCTTTAAGGGCTTCTACTGAGAGCAGCCCTGTCTCCCTCCCCAGGACTGGCAGGAGTTGAGAAGCACAGGATGAGCCTGTGTGCCAAGCCCAGCTTCCCCAGTTTCCAACGTGCTGTGCGGCTGGCTTTATCCCAGATCACAGATGCACCTTAGGAATTGTGTTGTTTTGCCTAGATGAGCATGCATGTACTGCACCCAGACAGAAGGACTCTGAGACAAACAGTACTGCGATTATACCCACCAGGTTGTTTCCAGCATCATAGGATGTGTATTGTCCCTTAGAACCACAGAAGTGACTGCATTACGAAGAGTGAAACAGGTCCACGTTCAAAATGAAAGGTGGCTCACGCCTTCAATCCCAGCCCCTGGGAGGCAGAGACAGACAGATAGATCTCTGTGAGTTTGAGGCCAGCGTAGCCTTCGTAGAGACTTGCGGGACAGCCAGGGCTGTATAGAGAGAGCCTGTCTCAAAAACACGGAAACAAAAAGGCTTGCTTAGTGTGTATAGTATAGAGTCAGAGTCAAGCATGCCGCCCTGATGTTCTCTCTCCATTGTCTCCTCTTTCCTAAGGTCCTGGATGCTTCCTCCCTTAGTTTCAACACCAGATTGAAGTGGTTCGTCATATGCTTTGTTGCTGGCGTTTTCTGTTCAATCCTTGTGAGTTAAGGCTTTGTGTTGATTAATAGTCTTACATTGTGCTAAGTGAATAATTTTATTTAGAACCGAATGTCTCTTAGATGATTTTGATGAGACATGGTGACCTTAAATAATATGTAGGGATTGATTAAAAATGTATAGAAATTAGTGCAATGATGATTGGAGGAAAATGTTAAACTGTATTTAGGACACCGGTTTGTGTTGAAAACTGGACAGTCAATAATTTAGCTGTGTTTTATTAAACCTGTTTTACCTTGTCAGTCAGATGAATATTTCGTCTTACAAGTGTAGAGAGATTCACTTTGTTTAATCGTGTATTGCATAGTACTTAGTGTCAAACACTGTAGAAGCACTTTCAAATTTTAGGCTGTTAAGATCACATTGTTTCTAACTAACTATAATTTCTTCTTTAGGGAACTGGTTTGCTGTGGCTCCCCAATGGCATAAAACTTTTTGCAGTATTTTACACCCTTGGAAACCTTGCGGCACTGGCCAGGTGTGTGTGTTTTTGGCTTCTCAGAATGCCTAGTTTGTTGTTCCAGATCTCCTTTCTAATAAGTCCTTTGTAAGTAGCATGTTTCTGTTGATCCCCCCCCCACACTCCTGAGACAGGGTTTCTCTGTGTAGCCTTAGCTGTCCTGGAACTCACTCTGTAGACCAGGCTGGCCTTGAACTCTCAGAGATCCTCCTGCCTCTGCCTCCCGAGTGCTGGGATTAAAGGCGTGCGCCACCACCGCCTGGCCGTTTATTGTTTATAAATGTCAATTCTGCAGCAAAGTTTACGTTTGTTCTGTAATCACTCTACTGTATCATTGAGTGCCAGCAATACCAAGTGGCGGGTAGTGCATTCGGGGAGCATAGAGGACGACCCTCATACACTGAGGCTAGATCCCAGCCTGGGACCGCTGCTGCGTTGGGGTGAGAAGGGTGTCTTGGTGCAGTCCGTTTGTGCTGCCTTGACAGCGCCACGGATGGTAAGCACGGGTGTGCTCCTCACATCCTACAGGCTGGGCAGTCCAGCACCAGGGCCCCAGCTGTCTCCTGAGGGCTGCACCCTGGATCCCTGAGGGCTTGCGTGCACTCCTGTCACCGCAGGGCTTCGTTTCCACTCGTGCGGGGATGCCAGACAGTCTGTTTCTCCACCCCTCCCACGGTCACACCAGTATTATGTTGAGGCCATGGCAGGTCCTAGAGCGTCCTTTGAAAGCTAAGGGGAGCAACCATACCTGGTGGACATGCATGTAACACCCATCTCTGGAGGAGAAAGCAGAACGATCACAAAGTGTAGCTAGCCATCCTGGGTTGTGCAGCTAGACCTTGTCTCAAAATGACAGCAAATGAAAACAAATACCCAGCACTCGGGAGGCTGAGGCAGGAGAATTGGACAGGGTATGTATGTATGTATGTGTGTATATATATATATATACACACTGTGTCTCCAAGTAATAACAAAAATTAAGTCAGGAGACTGAGACGGGAGTGTAAGGTGTTTCCGGCCAGCCGAGGCCTTGTCCCAAACAGCAACAAAGATCACAAACCCACAGGAAAGTACGGAAGAAATAACACAACTCACAGTTTGTCCCACAGTGACTTTATGTTTGCGTAGCCAGACTAGAGCCGTCTTACTCTGTTTTGAATAGCACGTGCTTCCTAATGGGCCCTGTGAAGCAACTGAAGAAAATGTTTGAAACAACAAGACTGCTCGCCACGGTTGTCATGCTTGTAAGTAAATAAGGTTAATTTCATAAACTCGTTGAAGTCTTTTATGCATCATTGCTGTGAGTGAATGCGTGCGTGCGTGTGTGTGTGTGTGCGTTATTAAAGTAGTATTCTCAGGGCTGTGTGATTAGAGTTTGACTTACACAGTATTGTCTAATAATATGACTGGGTGGCACCTGCTTCCTGTTGCATGTGTGGTGTGGTGTGCAGCTGGGAGTAGTTATGAAAATCAGAGCTGATTGTATTTTCATTTTTAAGCCCCACACCTGTTGTGCTGTCTGTTCTTCAGAGGGTAAAAAGAGAAGGTGGGATACTTCAGAATCCATTGGGGTCTTCTTGGAAAAGTGGGAACTGTAGTTGCTGGCTTCTCCTCTTCCCGTGGGCTGACTTGACGGTGGTAATGGTGTAGTGTCTCACATGGCTGTTGTTCAGTACTTAGTGTTCACTTCAGCTTGAGTGTAGGGGAGGGCAGAGAGCTCACACTAGTCATTCATGGCCAGAGTCTTGGGTCATCCCTCCGCCCATCTTTCCTTCCCAGTCCACTTGCTCCTGGTGTTGGGTTCTCAAAGCATTTGTGATGCTTAAAGAAATCAAGTTCCAGCATTAGTCTGTCTTTCTCCCTTCTTTAAGAGTAGCTTTTCAAACACAAGCAACCCCTATCAGTTTCTAGATACAGAGTATTTAACTGTGGCTTGTCACTCTGTTGTCAACTTGAACTCAGTTTGCCTTCATTTTTTTATGTCTTTATTCAGCGTTAGTTTTATTTCCATTGTCACAGCATTGGTGATTGAGTTTCCTAGAGTCACCTCTATCAGCAGCAGGCGTGTTTAAGTTTCATTTGTCTCTTTACAGGACATCCCCTGTGTTTCTCTCTGTCTAGGTTTGCTTTATTGGCGGTGTCTTTGCATTAGGATTGCACGGGTTCGGTTGATAACTGTTAGAATTCTGGAGGTGTAAAGCTTCTCCTCAGGGACCTGGCTGTGTACGTGACCCACCCTGGCAGTGCGTGAGTCACGCTGTTACCAGGAGAATGTGGAACCTGAGCTGGGTTGCTGCACGCACAGACTCTGCTCATAGCAACGGTGAAGACAGCCTGCTACCCCCACGCGGCAGCCCTTGAGGCAGCGGGCAGACGCCCTCTCTCTTGTTAGCGGAAAGCTGAGCCCTACACAGCTCCCTAAGCGAGCAGGCCCTGGCCTCAGCGACGAGGGGCAGACTGGGATCGCATCGGGCCTTCCTAACTTGGACTCCCACTTCTCGTCTCCCTGGCCTGCCTGGGTGACATGGCTGTGCAGGGTGCGTGTGCAGTCTCCTGTGTGAAGGAGGCACACTCATCACTGTGAAGTAAGCGTGTGGAACGTGCTGGCGTGGTTGGCACTGCTGTAGACACCTACACGAGAGCCCTAGGGACGGCCCCCTTGCTCTGAACTTTAGTCTCCAGAGTCTTTCCCTTTAGTTAGCCGGCAGGTTATGGAGGGCTTCCGTTTGCTGGGGTGGGGGACACTGCTGTGCAGGCTGTGAGGTGACAGCAGAGACCCTGTCTCGTTTATTCCGTGGTAAGCTATCTGGGTGAATGAATGCAGAAGAGTGTGTGCATTCCTGTTGCCCTGAAGGACCTCAGATCCCTCACTGCCTCTTTCCTTCCCTAGCTGTGCTTCGTGTGTACCCTGTGTGCCGCCCTGTGGGTAAGTCTCGCCGCCACGCTGGCTCTCTGATAGCAGGCCTCACTCCACCGTCATCTTAGACTGACTCAGAGTAAGGTGTCTTAAAGCCCTCCCAGAGACGGTGTCCCTGAAACAAGGCTAGATGTGAGGTGAATTTGCTGTCTACAACCCACGCAGAGGTGGTTGTTAAACGTAGGTCCCCGTGGGAACACTCACTCTCTGACAGCAGTCTGGACTGGGAAGGGCTTCAGCAAGCCCGTTGTCTCTGCTTTGCTGCTGCAGACTCTGCGCCTCAGGTGAATGCAGCAGCAGTTCTGTAGGTCAGACCAGACGTGAAAGAATGTCCGTCAGCGCTAGGTGCGGTGCTGATGTCTTTAGTCACCTGGGAGGCAGAGGCAGGCAGAGCTCTTGAGTTTGATGCCAGCTAAGGCTTCCCCGTGTGTGTGGGCGTGCGCTAAGGCTTCCCTGTGTGTGTGGGTGTGCCACAATGCAGAGATGGAAGTCATAGGACAGCTGGCGAGAGTCAGTTCTGTCTTTCCAAAATGTGGGTGCCAGGGGTTAAGCCCAGGTTGCTGCCCCTGCCCCCGCTTTACAGGGCAGGAATGGGCGTGTAGCTCAGTGGTAGAGCATGCGCCCACCTGCAGGCAGCCCTGGATTTGAGCCTCTTACCCAGAGACTAGGAATTCTTGAGTCAGCTGTCTCACAGTGTTGTAGGAATTTTATATTAGCCCAGAAAACTCAGTGGTGAGATTGTCCTTAAATACCTCAGAAAGCCAGACATGGTAGTGTTTGCATAGAGTCCCAGTACATGGGAGGTTGAGGCAGGAGGATTGCTGAAGGTTCAAGGTCAGCCTGGGCTATACAGCAAAAACATCTCCGAAAACCAAAAAATCTTGAGAAGGAGCAGGGGGACATAAGTAAGTTTCATGTGGGTTTTAAAAGGTTTATTGTAGCACAGGTTACATCAGTTTATAGTTGTGACCTTGAGGGATTCCTGTTTCCAGCCTGTGCACCACTGTAAGTCACTCACTGTGTGTGTCATAGAACTTAAGATAATAGAGATGGCATCGGGAAGGAGATGGACTTTCATAGGTGATGTTTAAGGTTCTTAAATATATAGGAATACGTTTAGTAAATACGGCTATCGGTTTTAAAGGGGAGACTTGAACCTGGTTATGATGACAGTGTTTAAAATCCTCTGTGTTGTCTGTTGCTAGTGGCGGAAGAAGGGGCTGGCCTTACTCTTCTGCATCTTGCAGTTCCTGTCGATGACGTGGTAAGTCTCCTTACGCCAGCTAGAGAGTGAAAACGGTCAAGGACGCTCGAAGCATCTTTTGGATCCTGACGAGCCCTAGAAAAGGGGCCAGAGGCCCATGCCTGAGAGCCAGGCTCCTACAGAGGCAGGCGGGTGAGGCCATTCCCGACTGCTGCTTCACTGGTACTTGTAGAGAGAGTGGTGGGTTCACTAGCTACGTAGGAAGAGACCTGATTAGAAATGAAGAGGAAGCCACTTGAATTCCAGCTCGAGGAAGTGAGCCCAGGGCTGTCAGGTGCCCCGGGCGTTCTCTCTGCTGCTCTGTGACTCTTTCAGGCCCCTCACCCCTGCACTTCCTGTCAGACTACGAGCATGCCTCCCTTGCTCGCCCCCTACTAGCCTCATCCCCCATCCCTCCAGTTTTGTTGTTCCGTGTCTCCGTTGTCTGTCACCAGCTGGGCTCAGCTCTGCTTTTGGCTCTGCTCCTGCCTTTCCACTGAGAGCAATCATACCGCCATATCTCAGACTCACCGTGTAACGTGAAGAATCTACGTTAAACCACATAGGCTGCGCTCTAAGATTTGGCCTTTGTGTACTTGGTTGACTTTTCTCTAAGAAGTTGTCGCCAGCTCTTAGTGACGTTAGCTTCTGCTGGAAGGATAAGAGGGTACCTTCAGCAGAAAGCCTCAGCTCAGCATCTATGCAAGTTACTAAAACATCATCAGTTGGGGTGGACCCTGGGTCTACCCCCAGCACAGCAAATCAGAGCCCACAAAGCTGGCCCATGCTGTTGCTTGAGACTGAGTCGCAGTTTGAAAACCACCGTCCTGAACTCTGCTGCTGAGGTAGCTCCGTAGCAGATGTGACCAGCGGGAATAGGGAGCTGTGGTGTAGGAGAAGTATCAACATCCTTGACTCTCTCTTGCAGGTACAGTCTGTCCTACATCCCGTATGCAAGGTGAGCTCCTCCGAATTTGTCTTATTCCTTCTGGACATGAGTTTAAAAGATTTATGGCTGGGCATGGTGGCTCATACTTATAATCCCACTTTGTGAGTTCAAGGCCCATCTGGTCTATATAGTGAGCACCAGGCCAGTGAGGGCTACATGGTATGACCCTGTCACAACAGCAAAATATGTAGAAGGCTTTTTAGTTAACTTTGACTTTAAACACTGCATACATAATAAATTAATGATTGGGGGGAAATGATTCTGGTGAGGTAGGACTTTGACTATGGAATTTCAAGATACCTTGTATATTTAAAAACCAGCAGAATTATATACCTAGTTTGGAAGGAGATCTGTTTTATTCCATCTCTGACTATGGTTATTTTTGGCACACAAAAGGAGAAAAGGCAAAGCAGCGTGAGCTGCAGGAGGAGGCTCTGGACAAGGGCAGAGGTGACTCGGGGCAGACTCTCCCATAAATAAAACTCACAGAAAAATAAGATCTTAAAAAAAAAAAGCAAAACTCCTGCACTCAGGGCAGACTTTCCCATAAATAAAACTCACAGAAAAATAAGATCTTAAAAAAGCCCCACTGTGCCCGTACACCACACTTTCTTCACCCACACCTGCTTTGGGCACGCCTAGGCTGACAGGCTAGTAAAAGTTCCTGTGATGTGATAATATCTTTTCAAAAGTTAGCATGAATGCTTCGAGAGCACACCCGAGCGTTGTGCGAGATTCGCAGCAAGGCTCTGGTTCCTCGGGATTGTGCTGCTGACTGTGTTTTCTCTTCCGCTCAGGGACGCGGTGCTCAAGTGCTGCTCGTCGCTCCTCAGCTGAAAGTCTACTCAGGAGAGGTGCTTGGGAGTGACGCAGATTCCACTCCAGAGACGGGGCTGCGGCCTCAGACCACACCGTGCATGTGCATGCGCGGTGGACTGCACTTACATAGCCTCTGCCCCCTGACCCTTAGCCTGTTCTTCCAGAGATGAGACCAGAATTGTCGACACTTGTAAATAATTTTTACTCAGTTTTTAATCTTTACAGACAACTTCTGAAATGTGAATATTTAAGGTGTAAACCTGTGTTGTAAGATATATCCGGCTCATTTGGCTTTTTAAGTGGTCTACTATTTTAAAAGATTTTTTTAACTTTAAAAATGTGAAACTTTATATATACTTTAAGCTTAAAATTACTTACGTGTAATAAAAAGTAATATATGTATCTACAGTTTTGAAATAAACCTGCTCCTGGAAATGTACCATTTTCTGGGTCAACTTTATGATACTCAGTGAAGTTCAGCTGAGGCTCCATCAGGTGCAGCCACTGCCTGTGTGAGGTGACAGGCAGGGGACTGGGAACCAGCTGTGCAAGTTCAAGGGCCACGCACGTGTTCTCTTAATCCCAGCCAGGTGATCTGAGTTCAAGGCTAGCCAGAGCTACATAGAGAGACTGTTTCAAAACAACCCCCACCCTCACCCCCGCCCTCACTTAGGGATAAGGAATACTGGGCTGGGAACGCAGGGTGTGGGTCCCCAGTCCTGTGCTGGGACTTGGAGGATCGAGGTCAGGTGGTGATGGATCTGGAAAAGAGACCTGTAGATGTGACTTAGATTGAAAGTTTTATTGAGGGGGAGGTAAGAAAGTAAAGAGACACAGACAGGATAGCAGAGAAGAGAGACAGAAAAAATCCTGTCTGCCCCAGGGGAACAGCAGGAAGGAGAACTTAAGTGGGGGGGGTGTCTGTCTTTCAAAGGGGTCCTTTGCACCTGCATGCAGACCAGTACTCATGGAGCCCTGGGCTGACCATGGTACCGCCTGAGTGCGTTCTGCCAGGTGTCAGGCAGGCCAGCATAATGCCTGAGTCCTTACACACACACCATAATGATCCAGGGAGGGATGTGAGGGGCCGCTGGTCAGAAGGATGCTGCTGTCACTGAAGGTAGAGATGGGGAGGAGGGGAAGTTCAGTCATCACAGACAGGGAGCTGGGTCTGGGGGCAGCAGGGTGTGTGGAGACAGTGACTGGTGCTGCCTCCTTCAGGCCCCCGTGGGCTCCCGGTTACCCAGCAGTGGCAGCAGGAGTACATTTGTGGGGACAGGGCACATACTCCAGGATGTGCGACTCAGGCAGGCGCCAACTAAGGGAGGGCGTGCCCACGCTGTGCTACAAGAATCACTCGTGTTGGCCGGCCTGGCGAGTAGGTCGGCAGGTGTGTGTGAAGATGAGTCCCGGGGACAGGGTGGAGAAGCCTGGGGTGAGGTGAGCAGTTCACGCCGGTAGGTCAGTGTTTCAGAGTGCAGAAATAGATGGGAGGGGACAGGCAGCTAGGGGCCTTGGGGACAGAGAAGTGCCTCTCTGATTAAGAGCACTGGCGGCTCTCCCGAGAACCGAGTTCAATTCCTCACACCCACATGGTGGCTCACAACCATCTGTAACTCCAGCTCCAGGGGATCTGAGCCCCTTTCTGGCCTCCAGAGATAGCACATGCTCCCGGTGGCCAAAACACATACATAAAAGTAAGTCTTTAAAATAACCCCGCCTAGCCTAGGGCCTCCTCAGAACTGTGCTCCACCTTGGTGCCTACAGAGGCCCTGGGTAACAGGACGAAGTGTGGGGTTTACAGAGGTTCTACCCTACGGCAGGTGTTTATAGAGGTTCTAGCCTACGGCACCTCCCGGGCGTGATGCCGAGTGCAGATAGAAGCCCTCTGAAGACAGTTTACACGTGACCGTGAAGAAAGGAGCCGGCCAGCTGCCCTGCTCCTGTGAAGTGACTGGTAAAGATACTCGCTATACCCATAGCCCAGTCGTCATCAGAGAGGCCCACAGCCAAACGTTAGGTAGAGAGAAGAGCCCCAGTCGGAGCTCTCCATCGGGTCCTTCCCCTTGGCAGCTTGTCACCCTGGGGCATCAGTGTCAGGAGCTGGGTTGTGTGCAGCAGGGACCTGGGGACCCGTACTGTGGCAGCTGTAGTTTCCAAGCTGCAGTTTCCAACAGCCCGAAGAGTTGGCCTGGCGGGATTCTGGGGAGTGGCCAGCGCCAGGGGTGGGGCAGAGGCAAGCATTTAATGCCCTGTTTGCAAGCTGCGCTGCCTTCACCCATACTGGTGTCGCCTAAGGAAACAGAGACTTTGCTCTCCCCTAAACACTGCCAGGCCGGCTCTTACAGTATGAAACTGTCAGGGACAATGTGAGGTCATTGGGAATGTAGTGCCTGAATGCAGCATCTACGGCCGGTGCTAGGTTTTCCTGGCTCCACTGGGGGCTGATGGTGTTGTTACCGGGTGCCTCCATCTGCCCCCAGACCCGCTTCCCGCAGTGCCACTGTCCCTAGTCCACAGGGAAATGACTTAAAGAGACTGCTTAAAACTGGGGCAAAGGAGGCAGGTTAAACTCCCAACCTACGGGGAAAACATTAGTGTTGAATTTAATGTATAACTCAGTGAGTGGAAATTGCCCGAGAGTGGTGCAGTTGAATACACTTCTCCTGTTTTAAAGTTCAGGGTTAGTTTAGGTTAGATTTTTGGCTGCTTATGGCCATAGTCGGTTTAATTATTTAAATTACAGTAGAGAAATGGGCCTGGAGAGATGGCTCAGTGGGTAGAGCCCTTGCTGTGTGAGCATGGGGACTGGAGTTTGGCTCCCAGCACCCACATAGCCCGTGCTCCTAGAGGCGGGATCGCTGGGGCAAGCTGGGTAAATAGACTAGACAAGTAAGCAAACTCGGGGTTCTGTAGAGAGCAACCAAGGGCGACGCCCGATGCCAGCCTCTGGCCTCCACCTGCACACAGAAGTGTGCCACAGGCATGCAAGCATTCATACACACGTGCATGGGAAAAAGTGAAGTCTGAAGGAAACAATTGAAGCATGGCGTATGGGACGTCCTGCGATGTTTGAGGTTTCTCCAGATGTACAGGTAAGCAGGATGTGATCCTGGGTAAAGCCAAGGATTCGTGAATAACGAAACGCTTCTTAGAGTCATGGTCTTGCTTCCCGGTGTTGCCTTCTCTGGCTACTGCCCGGCTTTTCCCCCTGGTGACTCCCTGTGGAGTTGGGAGCTAGCGGCCTGGTAGGTGCGTACACAGGGGGCCTGCGTGTAATCATTTCACTTGTCCTGAAACATCTTTAATGTTGTGGTAACTACCGTGTTATTCCTGAAATCTGGAAGCAAGTTTTTAATGTTCAGACGAAGGCACGGAAGGCAGGGACGGCCAAACGTGTGTGTTTGGGTTCACTGACTTGAGCTTGTTTATCGTCTGGCTGAAGTGCAGTGAGGCTTTTCTGTTGTTGTGATGAAACACCGTGTGACCGAAGCAACTTAGAAATGAAAGCCCGTGGTTCCAGAAGGTTCCAGAAGGTTCCAGAAAGTTGTCATTTATGATGGTAGAGCTAAAGCCTGGCAGCAGGCACAGCTCAAGCCGCATCTCAAGCCACAGGACGGGGCAGAGGGCACTAACTCAGAAATGATGTGAGTTCTTTTGAAATCTCAACGTTCTAACCCAGTGACCTCCTCCAACAAAACCACACCCCCAGACCCTCCCCCAAACAGCCTCTAGCTGGGGACCAAGTATTCAGATACACGAGACTATGGGGGACATTTTCATTCAGACGACCACGTGTGGGGAGCATCATCAACCCTTTCTCCTGTGTGTGTGTGTGTGTGTGTGTGTGTGTGTGTGTGTGTGTGTGTGTGTGTGAGATGTGAAAAGGTTGGGTGTCTCCCTCACTCTCCCCATCACACGAAGTCCCAGGTAAATTCGCATGTCTGTAAAATTACGTAAAAAGTGTCCTTGTTGACTAAACGCTTCAATGCAACTCAGGGGCCCCCGTTTTTTGTTTGCTTGTTTGTTTTTGTTTTGTGTTTTTACTACTTCAAGTTGCTTTTGCATTCATTTACTTTAGCAAGTGTTTGCCTGTGCCCCACCCACAGTGCCTGTGGAGATCTCAGAGAGCAGCTGACAGGAGTCAGTTCCAGGGATCGAACTTGGCAGCCAGGGCCTTCATCAGCCGAGCCATCTTGCCAGCCCCTGCGTCTCCTATTCGAAAGTCAAGCTTGATCTCCCTCACTCCAACTGCCACCCGCCATCCATCCACCAGATGGAATGTGTAACGGATTCCCCAACAGTCAGCGTGGAGACTGAGTCAGCGGTGGACACCCGCACGCCTCTTCCTGACTTCTCATAAGAGGCGGAGGGAGGCTCACGGGGCCGACAATTGCGGCTCATGCTTGTAGATGCTGTTCTCGGTGCCCGAAGATTCGGAAGAACCCTGTCAGAAGTGAACAGACTCTTCTACATGAGGTACCGGAGTACGGTCCCTTCCCTGGGGTCACCTTGCACTGGACCTCCCTGCTCCCACTCCTCCTGGACTCCTGGGGGACAGGAACGCTTGCTGCTTCCCAGGGTGCGGGCTACCGGGCCAGAGCAAGCTGCTGAGGTGGCATGGAACATAGCAGTTCCTCCTCTGGGCCGCCTCAGCTGTCACCGTGGTAGCCACTCGCCTGCTGCTTCTCTGCCAGTCTCTGCTAGTTCTGCAAACTTTCTTGTCCTTGGTGTAATGGCTCAGTCTGACTTTCAGACCCTCACCTAGTGTTGAGTCTTGTCTGGTTCCTCATTGCATTTTGGAGTTTCTGGAAAACCCCAGTTTTTCGGTAGAATGGACAAGGAGTGCTGGGCACAGACTTACGTCAGTTTATGTCAGCCCTTAATGTTAGGAGACTGCCCCGTCATCCCCACCTCTGACCTTCAGTCCAAACGCCATTGCTTCTGATGCCCTGAAGCCTCAGAAGCAGTCTGCACTCGTTCTCGCTCTGAGGTTGACCTCCCCAACTGTCCCTATAGAAATAGCTGCTGACTCTAGCTTTCCATCTGTGGCCACTGCGTACATACGTATCCCCACAACTGTCTAGAAACTAGAAGCTGGAATAGAACAATAGAAGCCTGCTTTCAGTGTCCTGGGAGCTAAGCTGCCCCGTGTTGTAGTGACCTGAGCTCAGAGGCGAGTGTCTAGTGGAATCCCCTGCCTTTGGGTGCCCTGGCAAGGGCAGGAGGCTCCTGTGTGCTGGAGAGCTCTCTGGAAGCTGTCCCATAGCGGGGATGTGCGGTGTGGTGGAGACGGTGGTTGTGGGGCCCACACCAACTCCCCCCACCGCTCTAATGAGAAACGCTTCCACCACCCAAGTTTCCTTGGCTACCCTGGGCTCTGCGTGTTTAGTTGCGGCTGCACAGAGCAAACAGAAGAGGAGAGGGTGGAGCGACTCTAGCACAGCGCACACAGGCTTCACTCTCTTTCCCATGCGCTGCTACTCGCCCTGGGCCGGAGCTCTTCAATGTGATGGAGAGCAGTGTTTTGCAGTCTAGACGTTTGATGCTGCCCTGTAAAAAGCAAAAACCCGTTGACTTCGGGGTACACTGCTTTAACTGTTGGATTGCCGACATTTTGGACCTTTCAGCGTTGTGGGTATGTTTCCAAGTAGTTACAACCAGAAAATGAGTTGAGGTAAACATAGTCACTCATTTTGAATACTGGTAACACATCGCCTGGCCTGCAGTCACATTAAAACAGAACAATGTCTACTGTTTCCTATGTCGCTATTATATAACAAAATGCATTGGCTATTCATAGACAATAACTGGTTTAAATGTGCAAACAATCCTAAGGAGTGGCATCAACAATGTCAGTGCCACCTAGGTAGCGCTGAAACGCCCCGCCCGGTTCTGGATGCTTTCCCTGCAATTCCAGACTGGCCTGAAATTTCCCTCCCGCGTTACCTGAAAGGGTTTTCTGTCTAGCATGCAGGGCACCAGCAGTGACTTAGTGCCACTGACTCTCTTGAGACTAGCTTCCGGCTTCTGATGGACTAAGCCTTCGCTTTGCGGGCCATGGGAGACCGGGAGAGCTTGCCAGCTCCCGCCCCTGAAGCTCTTGGGCACTTTGTCTCCAGCGTTCAGCAGTCGGCGACAGCGCAGACTTGGCAAGCCCTTGCTAGCGCGCGCTCCTCCTCCTACTAACCCGGCCCAGCCCGGCGCGTCTCGGAGGTGTGAACCTGGCGGCAAGCCCCATTCGCCTGCAGTTGGGCGGCTGGTGGCGGTGCCCGCTGGAACAGCCAGTTAGAGGGAGCTCCCGAGGTTGCCGAAGCGAGGAAGGGGCGGGAGGAGCCGTCTTTCTTCTCTTGAAGTCACCGGGCTTAGTCTAGGGCAAGGAGGGAGCGGGGGATGCTGCGGCTGCTCGCAGGTGGGTGTGCGCGGAGCGCGCGGCGATCTGCAACAGATGGAGAGCCGCAGGGGGTCGCTGGGCCTGTGGGGCGGCTCCGCGCGCGGTGACTGAGACCCGCCCCTCTCCTTCTAGGACACTGATGATCCGCTTGCTCGGAGGCCTCATGTCATTCACGCCCATGCCGCCGCCGCCGCCGCCGCCTCCGCCGCCCGTCCGGACCCCGGGGGGCCCGGCCGCGCGCCAGCTCTCCCGGAGGCCCTGCGCGCCGCCCGTGCCCTCGCTGCCTGTCGCCGCCGGCGAGAAGAAGAAGAGGCCGCCCGAGATGCTGCTCTCCAGCTCCTGGCCCTCCGCCACCCTGAAGAGGCCGCCGGGTCGCCGCGGCCCCGGCCTGGGTCCCGGCACACCGCAGCCGCCGACCTCCGCACGCGCTCCGCTCCAGCCCTCTCAAAGCCGTGCGGGAACCTCAACCACGTGCTCCGCGCCGCGGCGGGTCGCTTGCAGCCACAGCCCAGCGGGAGCCACCTCCTCGGGGACTTCTGCTGGGGCGGGGGCCGGGCCAGACGACGCCACGCGCTTCTCCTTGAGCCTTACGCCTGAAGCCATCCTGGTCATCCAGAGGCGCCACCTGGAGAAGCAGTTGCTGGCGCGGCCCCGCAGACCCTTCCCCACGCCCCCGGCCGATCCCCGGCGCCCACTGGTCTCCTGTCCCCGAACCAGGACCTCGACCGTGCGGAGGGGCGGTCCCACCGACGCGCCTCTAGCTGTGGCTGTCAGCAGCCGCTCTCCCAGTGCCTCGCTGATGCCGCCGGGAGGTCTGCAGGCCACTCTGCCCAGCTTGCGCCCCTCCAGCCTGCGCCCGGTGCTCAAGGTGTCGCTGCTCAATGAGAAGCACAAATATGACGATGAGGAGTACGAGGAGGAAGCGGAGGTGGTGGACGAGGGCCTGGTGCGCAAGTGCACGGAGTGGCTGCGTGGGGTGGAGTCGGCAGCCGCTGCGAGGGGACGCACGGGGCATCTGGACACACTGCCTCACCTGAGCACACTGTGAGCTAGGTGGGCCTGGTGTGACCCCACCTGGCTCGAAGCCCATCCCCCACACCCCCGCCTCCCGTGCTCCTTGCCCACCTGGGCTCTTGTGAACCAGGTAGGCCAGCAAGGGACAGGACCGCAGCCTGGAACTTTCTTCAGGTGCGCTTGGTCACGGGTAACCCACAGCCTCCTCTAGTGCCCACCGCCCACCTGTGTACCTTGCACCGCGAGGCCGATGTAGGACACAGCAGTCTTGCCTGACTCCAATGACTGTTCTCTGCTCTTCCTGCTCCCCCCACGCCCAGGGGAGGAAGGACCTGTGAAAATGCCTTCTAACTCCCTCCCTAAGGAGTCTCGGTCCCAGTGGCCCTCTGCCCCGGGGTGATATCCCACATCCTGGGGGACTCTGCAAGCCTGTGACCACCGAAGGCCTAGAGCTGGGGACATGGTGCTACATTTGTGATTTGTTTCCTTCCAAACCAGAAAGATGCTGGGTGCTGGGAAGCCTAGGAGCTCGAGTTAACTTGTAACGTGGCAGCCCCGTGAGTGAGCTTCAGGGGAACGGAGCTCTTGCTGCCAAAGGATGATCCTGGTGGACTTGTGCTATACCTACCTTCTGGGTCCTCAGCCACCCCACAACCCTGCGCATACACGCACGCATACGCGCGCGCGTGCACACACACACACACACACACAAACACTCCCCAGCCAGTGCGCAGGCACGTCCATGCCCATAGCTACACACGCGCTGCCCCTCCAGCAGTCATGTGGACGCGCATACCTGCGCAACCACCCACACGTGCCCACGATGTCACACACATCGCCACTCTCGCATATATGTGCCATTCATGCAATACACCAGTCTCACTGTGGGCACAGCCACACACACGTGTTCCTGGGAGCACGGAACTGTCTTCAAGAGCCGCACCAAGAAGGGAGCAGGGGTTGGCAGCTGTTGACATTTGCTAAGAATGCAGCCTTTACCTGGGGGCACAGCGGCATCTCCCGCACTGGTTAAGGAAGGAGTATGGCAAGGGGGCGGGGCACATGTGAAAACCAGGCAGGGCACGTCTGCCCGCTGCAGCGGTTAGTTTGAGGGGGAAGCAGGAAGTAGCTGTGGGTAAGAGCAGGTGTCTTCCGTCGCTGTGAAGATCAGCGGCACAGAGGCTCTGTAAGCTGTAAATAGTGACTTCTTAAATGTGATTTATTATTGGAGTGAAGGGTAGCGCTCCTGGCAGCCATGCCCTTCCCACTAACTCGAGGATGATTCTTTTGTATTTCTTCCGTGCCTGAGTGGATTCAACCCCAAGGATGAGAAGGAAGCATCTGTTCTAATCAGATAAGGTGGGCTATAGAAGAGTAATGCAGTACCTCAGCTGTTTTGGCTTTTCTTATCTTATGCAAGTCAATAACTGGTTTAATGTTTATCTTGTTAGACTTTAATGCGTCAATTCCTACTGTATTTTAAATCGAAGCCTTACATTTTTAAGAACCAACTACTTATTTTCCTTTGTCAAACACGAAGCCTTAGTTCAGAGGGAGCTATACCAGCCAGCCACCAGATGAGTTTTTTTTTTTAAAGCCACTAATTGATTCCTCTTTCCTGATCCTAGTTTGAAAGCTTAGAAGCAGGTCTTCATTGATCCCTTTAAATGGTTGATGCCAAAGGGGCAAAGTCAGTGCAGCTGGTGAAGGTAGATGGGAGGTTTTTCTCCCTGGCACCAGCAGAGAGGCTGTTTCTCTAGGCCGGCGGGGTGGGGAGCCTCTGCGCCCAAGCCTGTCATAGCACGGCTTCATCTCATCTGCACCCAGTGCAAATACCAAGTCTTTTTTTATTATTATTATTTTATTATATACACAGTGTTCTGTCTGCTTGTGTGCCTGAAGGTCAGAAGAGGGCGCAGATCTCATTACAGATGGTTGTGAGCCACCATGTGGTTGCTGGGAATTGAACTCAGGACCTCTGGAAGAGCAGTCAGTGTTCTTAACCTCTGAGCCATCTCTCCAGCCCCCATACCAAGTCTTAAGATGCTCAGCTCCCTGCCCCCAGCGGCTGTGACGGCACCAGGAAGAGTTCCCAGTGCCCCCTAAAGGGGTGGCCTCTAGGGAGGTCTTCCTCACTCTCGCTTGTCCTCTGGGTCTCCGTTCCACTCTGCCCCTCCCTGTCCCTGTCAGCTTTGATTTTCATTCCTCGCTGTCTCCTCCAGGCTGCCCTCTCCCGCTTCCCGTTCTAACTGGCCTCGGTCCAGGGCTAAGCACATTCTCCCCAGTTGGTTATTCACATGGGGCCTGTGCGCCTGGCCCTCCACTTTAGAGACTGGGGGCACGTTTATGTCGGATGGCCGGCCGATGATTCTCAGAATCTGTGCTTGTGAGGTCTCTCTGTCATTGCTGACATTCTGGGGACATTTCTATCACTGTGCTACAATTTCTTAATGTTTAAATAAACAATGGGATTGGATGGTGTGTGCTGCTTCTTAGGGAGTGTGACTGATAACCATCCGGAGAGAAACCTTTGAACATTTGTTAAGTACTAGGGTTACCAAAGGTCACCGCTAGAAACTGCCTGGATTTCTAGGAATTTTAAGAACAAATGCTTTCTAAGAATGCCTTTGAACAATGACAAACTTGTGAGAAATTGCAAATTCCCATGAAAGCTTTATCCCAAATACACTCCTAAAGCTGTCCCACAGAACAAGAACCATCTGCATGCAGCAGACATATGTTTCAGGAAGATTGTGAAATATGGACAGGCACCACCTGTGTACAGCCAATTAAACCTTTGCTTCTGCCTAACACACCTTGTAACTTGTAGCCCATCCCAGTCAGAAGTAAATGGTTCATTTGAGTAACAGCCAGGGTTGCTACAAGATTGCATAATAAGTGTGATTTGTCACTTATTATTTGTTCACAGGAACAGTGAAAGCCAACGTAAGAGTCATCCCCTCTTTCTGTCTTATATATGCATGGGTGAGGTTGATGTCCATCCTAGAGGGTAACCTCGCATGTGAAAAGAGAGAGAAGACTGTGTGCCACACCTGTGAGTTCCAGAGTTTGACTCTGTGTGGCTGCATCTCCATCCCTTGTGTGACACTTAGAGGGTACCTGGCACTGTTGGGCAGGTATTGTTCCTGTTTTCCTTAATCTGTAAACTAACAATCAACGCCGAAATGTCAGGACCTTAATTTTGTGGTTTCCTTTGCAATGGTCCGTTTCAGTGTAGGATGGTTGATCTGTGGGATCCAAGCATGCTAAGCCTGTGTTGGTCTCTGTGCAGTACACTGCATTGACCTCCGTGCACAGTTACATTGTGGCTGTGAGACATCCATCTGCCCCTTGCTACTTTGCCCCTTGCTATGACAATTATCTGACAATGGGCTTAAAGAAGAATGGGTTCGTTTTAGCTCACGGTCTGTGGGGATGAGGCCCATCATGGAGGGGGAGGCATGTGTCAGTCAAGAGAGTGACGCAAGGGTCACGTCGCACCTGCCCTTAGGAAACAGAGAGAGGTATATGTGGGTGCTCAGTCTGATTCCTCCTTTTTTTTTTTTTTTGTTTTTTTTGTTTTTTCGAGACAGGGTTTCCCTGTGGCTTTGGAGGCTGTCCTGGAACTCGCTTGGTAGTCCAGGTTGGTCTCGAACTCACAGAGATCCGCCTGTCTCTGCCTCCCGAGTACTGGGATTAAAGGCGTGCTGATTCCTCCTTTTTACTTGCTTATCGCTACATTTTATCCCACTTCAAGTACCAACCTATGGGATAAAGCAGCCTAATTCCAGGCAGGTCTTCCCTTCTCAGTTATCGCCTTCGCAGATGTGCCCAGAGGTGTGTCTCCTAGGTGATTCTAAGTTGACGAGATAAACCGTCACAGCCCCACCCCTTAGCAACTTGACACCCAGACACAGTACTTCTAAATGGAAACATTTCACCCCTCCCATAAAAGGCTCATTCCATCATGTAAAAACACACACAATGCAAAAGTCTCCGTCGCATCTATGCCAGCGCCTGCGTTGCTTAGAAGTTCAAAGTCTCTTCTGTGACTGGACGTAAAGGCTCAGTCTTGAGCCTCTAGAAAAACCAGTAAGGAGGGGGAGAGACCCAAAACAGGAAACAAGTTACAAGCTTCTGACATACGATGGCACAGAATAAATCCTGTTATTACAAATGGGAGGATGGAAGAATGACGGGGGCAAAGCAAGACCGGAACCCAGACGGACGGACACTGAGTCCTGCGGCTCCACGCCTGAGATCAGGGCTCGGCTGCCTTTCAGTCCTTCCCTCCGGTTCCCTCCATCTTTAGGTCCTTCCGGTGCCTTCCACTTCTTAGTCCTTCCCTCGGTGCCTTCTACCCGCAGCACATGTGGCCTCCCTCTAGAGCTGCGTCCACTCTGTGTGTGCAGCTTTCCATGGCTGATACACCACAGTCTGGGCATCTTCTACACCCCAAGGTTATTAGTATTCAGACATCTGCACTGGCCTGTCCTTGGGGTCCTGACAGGACACGCCCTCAGCTGCAGACACTGAGAGCACCACCTGTGCACACTCACTGTGTTCCCTTTAAAAGGGGCCCTGCCCACCTCCCATCCTTCTTTCTTCCTCTCCCTCTCTCTGCCTGTCTGTTCTTCTCTCTGTCTCTGTCTCTGTCTCTCTCTGTCTCTGTCTCTCCCTCCCTCCCTCAACAAAGTCCCCACATGTCCTTGTCACTCTGTCACTTTACAGCAGAGGGCCAGTCTCCGAATTCAGGTGGTTGTTCAGAGAGTACAGAAGACGACAACTTCCTTACTGATGTCACCCCGTGGTGCATTGATGGGGACACTTAGCTTTGGTCATGAAGGCACGGGCTCCTTACTCTTGGGAGCTGCTGAAAAGATATGCATGGGTGGAACCCAGCCATCTGATAAAATGCCCAGCAAATGCAGGAGGGACCCCAGGCAACCACGGAGGAGACAGTATCTCTGGGGGACTGCACACTGCTCGGTCCCCCGGTCAGCCAGCCACAAAGCCTCCCCGCCACCCTGCCCCCTATCCCCATCCCCACTGCCTCCCAAGTGTGGAGGCCAGGCCCCGACCGGCACACAATAGGATGATCCTTGCCATCCTCTGTTCTCACGGTGGAGTCTAATTCTCTGGCACTGCCCCCAGGTTGTGGGCCTCAGTTGACCACAACATGTGCAGCTTCGGGGACAATCAGGCTAAAGAGCTCCGAGACAATCGTCCCTGTCTGAACCCTCTTGTCATGATGTCACCACACTGGGGAACAAAACACACACACACACACACACACACACACACACACACACACACACACACACACAGGCGCCCAAGGAACAGAGACTTCAGACAAAGAACTCTCTCATCACCCCCACTCCCGTGTCAGTCAGCCCAGGGTCTATGGAGAAGGCAGCAACAGCATCACCCAAAGAGACCCTTCGATTCGGGTCTTCTCACCCAAGCTCACACGTCCAGTTGCCGGCTGCCACAGGAAGGTGGGCTCTGAGGACGATGGCACCCACCACGACGGTCTCAGACTTTTCTGTACTGAAGGCTCCCAGGGAGCGTCTCCCCTGCAGACGGCACCCCGTCAGGCCTCTTAGGGATTTGCCTAGGCTGAGGCATCAGCAGCCCCTTAGCTACGTGGGGAATTCTGCCCCACAAATGATGAGAGGGACCCCTTGTCGGGATTTTAGAAGACAGCACATTGTAATTGATGGAGGGAGGAGGGGGTCTCCCACACCAGCTCGGGAGGAATCCACACACAGGTGCCAGGAGAAGCAGACGTCACCCTGGCCGGCACACTATGTTCGCTGTGTGTAGAGACCTGGGAAAGCAAGTGAGAGACAGAGGTCTGATGTGTAAGGCGGTGACCGAAGGCAGCCGTACCTGTGTCCACCTGACACAAGCTAGAGTCGTGGGAGAGAAGGGATCCTCAGCTGAGCAAATGCCTCCGTGAGGTCGGGCCGGAAGGCATTTTCTTTTTTAAAGATTTATTTATTTATTATGTATACACTGTTCTGCCTGCATATCAGAAGTGGACACCAGATCTTATTACAGATTGTTGTGAGCCACCATATGGATGCTGGGAATTGAACTCAAGACCTCTGGAATAGCAGTCAGTGCTCTTAACCTCTGAGCCATCTCTCCAGCCCAGAAGGCATTTTTCTTAATTAGGGATTGATACAGGAGGGCTCCAGCCCGTGGCGGGAGGGGCGCTCCTCCAAGCTCTCTGCATCGGCTCCTGCCTCCAGGTTCCTGCCCTGTGTGAACTCCTGCCCTGACTTGCTTAAACGATGAACGGTGATCTGGAAGTGTGAGCATAAATAAACCTTTTCCTCCCCAGCTTGCTTTCTGGATGGTGTCCCATCACGGCAATGCTAACCCTAACCAAGACAAGCTGGCACCAGGATAGCGGGGTGTCGATGTGACGGACCTGTCTTTGGGAGGACCGTTGAGAGCTCAGTGGGCTGTTCTGTAGGGGCTTGGAAGGTAAGAATGTCCAGGGCGCTGCAGACGATGAGCACCTGGCCGGTGAAGGTTCAGAGGGAAGCAAAGACTCCACTGGGCTTCTTGTGTGAAGAAGAATCCGGAAGAGTCAGCCTCGATTAACAAGGGACCAGAGCCACTCTAAAAGGTATAGCTTTGCTTTGCTGAGACACTCGGTACTGGCCGGCTGGAGCTGCGAAATCAGCGGTGGCTAAGAAGAGGCCGGCGTCACCGAGGTGAGATCTGGGAAGTGCTTCCTGGGAGTCAGCGCACAGACGCAGTGTTGCAGGCGTGGTCATGGCACTAGGGCCGGCTGTGGAGTTGCTCACCTACGATCACCAAGTCAAGCCATCCCAGTCAAGGTTACTAATGCTATGATGGAACACCGCGGCCAACAGCAACTTGGGGAGGAAAGGGTTTATTCGGCTCACACTTCCACAGCACTGTCCATCAGTGAAGAGAAGTCAGGACAGGAGCTCTAGCAGGGCAGGAACCTGGAGGCAGGAGCTGATGCAGAGGCCGTGGAGGGATGGAGGGGAGCCACTTACCGACTTGCTCCTCAGGGCTTGCTCTGCCTACTTTATTTTTTATTTAAGATTTATTTAAATGTATGTGCGTGCTCTATCACGCCATAAGAGGGCATCAGACCCCACTATAGATGGTTGTGAGCCACCATGTGGTTGCTGGGAATTTAATTCAGGACCTCTGGAAGAGCAGCCAGTGCTCCTAACCGTGAAGCCATCTCTCCAGCCCGCTCAGCCTTCTTTTTATAGAACCCCAAACCACCAGGGATGGCTCCACCCAGAATGGGCTGGGCTCTTCTCCCTTCAATCATCAATTAAGAAAATACCCCACAGGCTTGCTTACTACCTATCTACCTATCTATCTATCTACCTATCTATCTATCTATCTATCTATCTCTATCTATTTGGTTTTTTGAGACAGGGTTTCTCTGTATTGCTTTGGAGCCCATCCTGGAACTCACTCTGTAGACCAGGCTGGCCTGGAACTCACAGAGATCCGCCTGCCTCTGCCTCCCCGAGTGCTGGGGTTAAAGGCGTGCACCACCAATGCTCAGCTCCGCAGTCTGATCTTACAGAGACATTTTCTCGATTGAGGTTCCCTCCTCTCAGATAACTACAGCTACTGCCAAGCCGACGTGAAACACAGCAGCCTCCTCCAAGCCTGGTCTGAAGGCGCTCACAGAGACTCTCAGGTGTGCTCTGTGGTGAGTGGCCCGTGTCTTTGAGGGCAGAGGATGGGGAGGAACCTGAGTGGCCGCACAAGGGGTGCACTGTTTTCTCACCCCGTGACCCCCAGTGGTAAAGGAGGCATCGGCTGGAGAGCTGGGTGCCTCCCTGTCCCAGGAGACCTTCAGTGATGGGGGGAGAGGGGGAGAAATCCTTCTGTGTGTGTATGTTGATGAAGAAAGCACTGTCGGCCAATAGGGAGAGCAAGATAGGTGGGACTAGGAGTCGAAGAGGATTCTGGGAAATGTAGTCAAGAGTAGAGAGCCGTGGCCATGTGGTGGCCGGGAGAGGACGCATGAGGCTGTGTCCCTGGTAAGATGAGACCTTATAATGAAAGACCCCTACCCAGGACCCCCTAGGAAAAGAAAAGCAAGGCCAGGCCGTTGCCTAATGAAAGAAACCCAGAACAAGTGCCTCGCCCAGCTGGCAGGATGTCAAACAGGATCTGTGGTCACCAGAGCAGTCATGGGACCCGGATAATAATTGCTGAAGCGTGCCAGGGTCTTTTATGTGGCAATACCAGGACACCTAGTCCTTGGCAACTACCCCTGCCCCCAGTTGTGTCTATGATCACTATAGTAGTCATGGGACCCGGATAATAATTGCTGAAGCGTGCCGGGGTCTTTCAATACCAGGAAACTTAGTCCGTGGGAACTACCCCTGCCCCCAAGATGAGCCAATGAAATGCCTGTTACTTATGTAACCATTAAAACTCTATAAATATTTTGCTCCCTGCAAGCCCGGTATGCTCTGCACCCGAGTTGCAGTAGCATCCGCAGGCGCCTGTGTACCCAACAAATCACCTCTTGCATTTGCAGCCAGTGGTCTGGCCCCGGTTCTTGGGCAGAGGGTTCGGTTCAGTGCCCGGCGCTTTGATGCCGAGGTCTTTCAATAAAAATATACATTAGCAGTTATGGGCTAATGATTAAGTCAGAGCTAGCCAATAAGAAGCCAAGCAAATGGCCAACAGCTTCATAATTAATAGAGTGTCTTGTGTGTTATTGGGGGAGGGGGGGCTGAGACAGCTGCGGGACCCGGGCAGCTGGTGGGAAGACCACACCGTGACCCTTCAGGGCTTATGTTCCTGTGGGGGGAGGAAGCCATTGGCAAACAGTGTGAAAACAGCATAGGATTAGATGACATGTGCAGGAGACTGGGGGGGCAGATCAAGTCCCATTAGAGCCAGGGGGGGGGCGGCAGGATGAAATTACCAACCCCAGGTACTGAGTCACTGAGAAAAGATGTTTGGACGGCACCCTATCAAACACCAGGGGAGACTGGCCAGGCAGAGGAGAAGGACCTGGTAGAGGCAAGAGGGGGCAAATCTGAGTCCTGCAGGACCCTCGCCTGCCAGAAGGCGGAGAAGAGAGGCGTGAGGTCCTTGCCCTTGCCTGGGTGTGCACTCTGTTAGGAGGCAGAGCCAGAGCGCCAGGGTGTGGCTCAGTGGTGAGCACCAGGCCAGCATGGGCCTGCCTAGCAGAGTACCCTGAGATAACCCCAGGGGTGGGGGACCCTCACCAGGTAGCTGAGTGTGAGTGTGTATTTTTTTTAATTTGTTTTATTTTATATGCATGGGTGTTTTGCCTATGCGTATGTGTGTGCACCATGTGCATGCCTGGTGCCCAGGAGGCCAGGAGGAGGCACCGGCACTGGGGTGACAGGCAGTTGTGGGCCACCTCTACAAGAGCAACAAGTGATAAGATGAGCCATTTCTCCAGCTCCAGGAGTGGTCCCCCCTTCACACCCTCCCTCTCAAGACGGGGTTTCTCTGTATGGCCTGGCTGTCCCTAGAACTCACTCTGTAGACCAGGCTGGCCTCGAACTCACAGAGATCCACCTGCCTGTGCCTTCGAGGGAGTGTTCCATCACTGCCCGGCCCCAGGAGTGTTCTTGGCTGGGGACAACGCTGGGGTGGGAAGCGGCTCCTTGGAGGCCGAGGGTGTTTGCGGAGGTTTCTTGTCCCTCCAGGTCCTGCCACCCCTCAGCCCCAAATAATCACATAGAGACTTATAATAATTATAAAACTGCTGGTCGATGGCTGGGACTTCTTACTGGCCAGCTCTCTCTTAATTATTAACCCATTTCTATCAATCTATGTATTTCTACATGGTTTTATCTTACTGGAGAATGCCTTGCCTGTCCTATCCTCCCCGTCTCAACATGGTGTCTCTCCTTTGGTCACTTCCCTGCCTACCTTTCCCAGAAGTCTCCTCGGTCTCCTAGTCCTGCCTATCTTCCTGCCTCTATTGACCAAACAGTGTCTTATTCATCAACCAATAAGAGAACGTATATTCAGAATGACCTCCCCCGTCATGAGGGAGCTGGGATCGATGGAAGGAAGCATGGCACACTGAAGACCCAGGAGCACGGCTGTGACACCTGAGCTCAAAAGTGGTCGCTTCCTCTGTGATTCCAAAGAGAAAAATGAGATGGACACTGGCGGTACACACTTCTAATCCCAGCACTCGGGAGGCAGAGGCAGGCCGATCTCTATGAGTTCGAGACCAGCCTAGTCTACAAGAGCTAGTTCCAGGACAGACTCCAAAACAATGCAGAGAAACCCTGCCTCCCAAAAACAAAATAAAACAAAACAAAACAATAAAAACAAACCAAATAGAAGAAGAATAGATTCAGCATCGCTTGCATCTCTACCGCTAGCCTAGCGAGGTGTGGAAGGGATGTCAGTGGCAGGCAACGCGCAACAGCTTACCGCAGCACACCCCAGGGGCAATGGAGAGCCAGAGCCCAACCCAACACCTGAACGCACTTAGGAGAAGAGACCCAGAAAGGAGCAAGAGAGCTGCAGCTGGGAGAACTCAAGTCTCTCCCCAGCCAGACAGCCTGCGCCACTGGCCCAGAGGCTGGGCCGGCAGGACACGCCAAGTCTCCTGCACTGGTTACCAGGGCCGCCTTGTTGTGACAACAGAGTGGCCTGGAGTCGGTTGGTAAGTCTGCGTGAAAGATCCCAGCTGGGGTGGGCTCGGCTGGCGCCCTGGTGGACTGGCGGTGAAGGGCGGTGGGAGAGGCAGAGGAAGGAGCTGGGGCACATGCTTGCCCTCGGGGCTCACGCCTGCCCTCAGGGCACCTGGACACCAGCTTCGTGCCCTCAGAAAGGCCCTCTGGCCCAATGGTAGGGACCGAGGCTGGCACACCTGGAGGTGTGGGCATTTACAGTGTAGCCCTGGCTTACTGGAGTGTAGGTAGCCGGATACCTGGCAGGAGAGGTAGCTTTTGAAAAATTAAATCTAGCTGCCCATGGCAGATGGCTGTCCCCTCTGACTTTCAATTAAAGAAGAGTCAGGGGCTGGGGGTTGTAGCCCAGTTGGCAGAGTAGCTTCTTTAACAGGCACGAAGCCCTTGATTTGATCCCCAGGACAGCATAAACTGTGTGATGTCCCACACTGGGAAGTCGAGGCAAGAGAATCAGGAGTTTAAGGTCATCCTTGGTTATACAATGAGTGAGAGGCCAGGACCCTATCAAAAATATGTTTATTACATTTCCTAAGTACTCTTGGTAATTATGTGAGCTCCCACTCCCATTACTGTAGTGACATATTATTTATGATTTATTAAAACTTGCTTGAGGACTCAGAATGCAAAGCCAGCCTCAAGATGTGGTCAGGCAGTGTAGGTACACACCCTTAATCCCAAGACTCAGGGTTAAGAAGTAGACGGATCTCTGTTAGTTCAAGGCCACACGGACTACGTGAAATTGATCCAATCCTAAAAGAAACAGCCCACACAAAGGTGACCTCAGCACCTGGGATCACACGCCATTAGGGAGGCGTTTAAGTCGGGAGCAGGTCTGAGAGCTAGCATTTGGTTTGAGAATTAGTTTCTAGCCCCGTTGAGGAGAGCATAGCAGTCCAAGTGAATCTGAGGACCAGTGAAGTTGGGAGCCATCTGAGGATCGCCCCTTTGGTCTGAGCTGAGGTAGAGGGTGAGGATTAGTGGCCGGCTGCTTTGCTTTCTCTGATCTTCAGCTTGAACCCCAATATGTCTTTTATTTTCCGTGCTACACATTGTCGTGACAACAAAGAGCCGCGGTGTCAAATCTGGGTTCTGTGTGAGGCACTGACCCCCATGCTCAGTCCTGGCTGGTTAAAACCCAACCAACCAGGACTGCAGGCGGCGCACCCCGCTCCTCGGATCTTCCGGAGGATGGCCAGGGCATGTCACGGGCTCCCCGCCGCCGCCCCGTGTGCTTTCCTCCTCCTCCTCCTCCCCCTCCTCCTCCTCTCCCTCCTCCCCCTCTCATGCAGATGCAGGCTGGAGAAAAACACTATGGTCAGGGCATAGGGGGAGGGGTTGGACAGTTCCAGAGAGAATTCAGTTCCCAGTGAATCTAAAGGAAACTGCGGTCTGACTTCCCCGCATGGTTGAAAGCGTGTCTAAAGCTGAGGCTGATGTGGGTGTCTGGATACGACACACCCCTTTCTGTTCTACATAGGAGGCCCCAGGGCAGAACCCTGAACTGCCGACTCAAGCAGGGTCTCCTCAGTTCCACTGGCAAATGAGGCTTTCGGGATCCACAGGGAGGCAGAGTGACCCTAAGGCGTCGTGTTCACCCCGGGAAGAAAGAGCTCATTCTACTTTGCACCCAGGTGGCCTTGGGATCAGTAATTAGAGTCACAAGGTCGCAGCTGAGGTGCATGAGCCCCAGGGCTGCTCCCTTCACCTGTGGTCTCTTCAGCCAGGTGACTTTTATCCCCTCTCCACAGCCGCACGCACACCTGTCTCCAGGCTCGCCCGGTGAGGAGCGTGTCCTCCGGCTTCACAGGTGTAGCTCCTCCAAACATGGCCACGGACCTCCACGCTTACCCCAAGGGTTTGAACCCGCCTCTCCTGAGCAGCCGCCCAGCACAAAGTCCACACCAGCAGGTAATTGCTTTGGGGAGACGCCACGGAAGATGAAAGAAACTTCCTTAAGTTGGGAGGGACAGGTGTGCCCCGTGACTGTAGTTGCTCTAGTGCCTGGCCACAGGGGTGAAATGTGCGTGCAAATATTAACACGGCTAGAGCTCCTTACAGTCAAATATTTTGTGCATGTGTGTAAAATACCAAACCCAACTCCATGGCACCTACAAAGGTCCCAGAAAAACCGAGAAACCCACGGTCCTGTTCTGGTTATGACCAGGGTGTGGCTGACCTGGGCCTGGAAAGCCCGTGTGGGCATCTGCCTCTTGGGTCTCTCCTTCCCACACTGCTCTGTCCAGGGTTCCTTGTCAGGGAGGAAAGCCTCAGGCGGCTCCTGAGCGTCTGGGGCCCAGAACGCCCGCTGTCATCGGGCCCTGTGACCTCTTCCTCCCTCTTCTGTTCTGGAGTGTGTATACCTGAGGGTACACAGATCCAGAGTCTGTGTCACCTCCAACCACGTGGGGAGAAGCCCTCGGCCTGACCTCACTTCCAGCGGGTCAGTCTTCACCGAGACACCCACGCATAGGGAAGGGATTTTCTGAATGAGATAGCTGATCAGTCCTTGAGACAGAGGGACAAGGTTGGCCAGTTGTGTGTTTGGAGGCACTTGGGGTTCTGTGAATCCTGGGTGGGTTGAATTGAGGATGTTTGTCTCTCATCAGTTTCTAACAGAATGGCATGGCTCCCTTGTCCGTCTGGTCCCTTCCTGGCCACCCGGTCGGTAACACGTTGAGGCCATGTTGCCTAGGTGGTAGCCGGAAGCACTGGGGATATGCGATGGCTGAGGGCATTGTGTGTGTGCGTGTGTGTGCATGTTGGTGCACACGCATGTGTGCCTGTGCGTGTGTGCTGTGTGTGTGCCTGTGCGTGTGTGCTGTGTGTGTGTGATTGGAGAATTCTCTGGAGGAATGCTGTCTGCCACCACGCCCACCTGCCACCACGCCCACCTACAGGCCATGATATGTGCAGCTGGGCACAGGGTCCCCGGAAGCAGAGTGGCCTTGGTCTCTGTCATTCAAGGGTGTGGCCGTGGCCATCACACACTCTGGTTGCTCATGCCATTCTTGTATCCCCCAGCCTCAGGCCTGTGACGAGGCAGACTTATGTCCTTTGAGAACTAGCCAGTGTGTATGACCCTGTTGCAGCCCCAGACAATTGGCTGGTGCACACGTCCGGTCTTCTCCTGAGGCTTCACCTTCTTTTTGGCGTTTAACCACAGCTGTCTCGTTTTTCTTTGTCATTTTTTTCAAGCTGGGTGTGGTGCCACACACCTTTGGTTTTTAGCACTTGAGGCAGAGGCAGGAGGATCTCCGAGTGTGAGGCCAGCCTGGTCTATACAGTGAATTCCGGGACAGCCAGGGCTTTACAGAATAAAACCCTGCTTTCAAAAAAAAAGTTATTTTTCATAGTGTCCCTTTGTTCCCTCTGGACCGCGAACACTGATGACAATGTGTACAAGTGTGGGCTTGCCTGCTTTGCTTCCTGTTTCGCGCCCCACGCTCCAGTGAGGCTCCCAGCTTCAGAGCAGTGTCAGGTCTGTTTGGGAGCGCACCCTGCTTGCTCAGGAGGAGGAACCACACAGTCCCTGCTGCCCCACCCAAGACCCAGCAGCACCTCTCTGCACTCACATCCACCCGGTGTTTACAGACGGGTCCTTCTGTTTCCCTTGCTGGTAAATATTACTCAGCCAATGCTCACCAGTGTCCTTTCTAGCACCAAGCATGCAAAGCCATCTGGGCTGTGCCAGTTCCGCTGTTTGTATATATACGGCAGCATTAACTTCCGGATAAAACGTAAAGTGAAAAATACCCGCCAGTCAATTAGAAGTGTGGGTGAAGGATCTGGAGAGCTTGGAGAAGAAGGATCCGGAGAGCTAGCTTGCTTGGAGAAGCCGCCAGAGTCACACAAATCCTATACTGTACCAGCGTCCACTTGGGGTGGGTTGGAGATGATATGGGCTGACGGTGGTGAGCAGCATGCATAAGTTCTGGAGACTGGCTAGGAGGTGGTGGCGAGCGGCTTTGATCACAGCACTCAGGAGGCAGAGGCAGGCAGATCTCCGAGTCTGAGGCCAGCCTGGTCTACAGAGTGTGTTCCCGGAGAGCCAGGGTTGCACATGAACACAAACGCAGGCCCCTCTTTGCGTCTGCGGGCTCTGTGTGCTGCTGACAACTGCCCCCATCCTCTCCCACCCCCGCAGATCCCCGCTGTGCTCTGGTCTCTTATCACCACGACTCTCCTCCTCCTCCTGCTGTAGTCCTGGTTGTCACAGCGTGCCGAGCTGTGTGGCGTCCTGCTTTTATCTCTGAGCACAGTTTGGTTGTTGGGTCATGTCTTGCTGGACATGTGGGTTGTTTCCTGTCAGGGCAGTTCGAACGGAGAGGCTATGCTGGTCCCAGGCTCCGTGCACGTAGGCTGTCCCTTGGACAACTCCCCTGAGTGAAAGGACTCTCACAGCAAATCATCCATTAAAGAGACTGTGTAGTGGGCGTGGTCACACAATATGAGTGGTCACACACATGACACTCACACTAGCAAGTGAGAATTAAGCCATGGCATCCTAGCCAACACTTGCAGCGCCACAATTTGGTCTTGGCTCTTTCTTTAAGACAGGGTCTCACTATGTAGCTTGGCTGTCCTGGAACTTATTATGTAGACCAGGCTGGCCTTGAACCCACAGAGATCTGCCTGTCTCTGCTTCCAGGGTGCTGGGGTTAAAGGCGTGCGCCACCGCCGCCGCCTAGCACACCTCAGATTCTTTTTGAAGGTCCAGACTCATCCAGATAGCCCTGACCACCGGCCCTCGCCCTCCTCACTTCCTCTTAGCCGCCGAGCCGTCTTTCCAGCCCTTCTCCTCACTTCCTGATTCTTCCTCCCTCACGAAGCTTCTTGGTAGTATTTTCCTGAGCCTGGATACTCCCTCTTCATCATTCACCTATCCATCCAGTCTCATTCACTGGGCCTTGAAAGCCACCAGCCAGGAGGCCAAACAGTAGGCAACTCATTTTTCAAGCCTCCTTCCTCGTAGGGACCTGCTGCTCTGCCTCAGAACCCTTCTGCTATTCTCGCTCATCTATCTGGCCTTGAACTCACAGAGACCTGCCTGCTCGGCCGCCTGAGTGCCGGGGTTTAAAAAAAGTCGCCACCACACCCGGCAGTCTTAGCTATTCTTTCTTTAAAAAATTGTTTGTTTGTTTTTTATGTGTATCGGTGCACGTGTATTGTTCCGTACATATGAGGAGATGTCTACTCTGGGTCAGCGTGACTTGGGTGGCTGTTGCTTTTCCAGGGCCCTAGTTCCTTGGGTTCAGCCCATCTGAGCCAAGAAGCATTCGGTGGAAGGAAAGTATAACGGACAACAGTATAATGGGTCTGGCGCGGTGTGAGCTGCAGCACTTGGCTTTTCTTAAACGCTTTCACTTGTTGCTCTTGCTTTAAGAACCCAGTTTCTCTCCTAAGCCACTGGCAGAGTCAGCATGCAAATTTGTCGTGGAGACAAGCAGGGGATGGATGGATGGAAGCCAGAACCCGCTCTAAAAGCCAGTCCGTTTTGCTGCTGCTAGTGTCCCCAGATATCTCCGGGGTGCTGGGTGGCCTTTGTTTTCCTTGGAGCCCTGGAATCACGGAGGTCCCCTTTCTTTGTCTCCTCTCACCAACCACCGAGTTGCAGAGAGATCTGGTTGGAATCAACTGCTGGGCACCGGTCCAAGCTTCTGCTGTCACTGAGGAGGTGGGGTTGTGTCTGCCCTGCCTCCTCCTCCTCCTCCTGGGTCTCTCTGCACCGGGTCTTTGACACCAGGGGGGGAAGTAGACCTGCACAGACCCTTGTAGCCCTGCGGATCCTCTCTGGGCTTGAGAGGCATTCTTTCCCACCTGCCCTGCGGAGGCAGGCGGGTTTGCAGGGGTCTCCCTGCCTGGCAGCCAGTCTTCACAGCCAAAGGAAGCAGATAATAGTGACACAGCCGGGGCAGGGAAGATGTTGCTATGGCAACAAAGCAGCCAGCCCGGCTCTCCTCCTGGGAGGCCTCGTGGTTTCGCGGGGCACACTACAGATGACATCGATAGTGTGGTGGTCTCTGCAGGGCTGGCACACTTTCCCCTCCTTCCCCGGGCTCACCAGGGACGCCGCGTTCAGCTGCAGGAGACAATGGATGGCCGCGGTCATCTCTCCACCGTGGTGCCACCTGGCACAGCCTCTGCTCAGCCACGCAGGCCGTTTCTGCTCCTGGGGGCTTGCTTTGTTTCCAAAGCTAATTAACACCAGGCTACACTGATGTGCTGTGATGTTCCCTGGCCCCACCCACCGCCCGTTCTTCCCGTCTTCTGGTTTCCCACCTTTCCCTAGCAGAATGCAGTTCTGACCTTTTCTGTGACCACCCAGCCCCTAGTAGGAAATGTATTTTCATGGTGATCCTGTGTGTGTGGGTGCGTGCATGCATGCGTGTGTGGGTGCATGCATGCATGTGTGTGTGTGCGCGTGCATTTGAGGCAAAAGCTTAATGAGACAATGTTTACCCTCACTGTGTAAATGACAATCTTTTCCACATTATATAGAACACAGTACATTATTTTCTCTCCTGTTCTGTAAGACATTTTGGTGGCCATACCTACTTGACTACATGACCTCAGTGGTTTCACAGTTTGGTTCCTGTGCCTGGCAGAGGGATGGCTCAGACCCCTCCCTCCCCCTTCCCAGCGCCAAAGGTGGGGGCCGGGGCTAGCTGGTGTCACAGGCTTCTGGGAGCACCAGGATGAGGCAGACAGGAAGTCCTCCCTCCAGGGCCACACCCACAGGCTTGCAAGCTGCTGCTCTGCCTTCCTCATCATTGGGCCAGCAATCAACAGAGGGCTATTAGCAAATGCTAATATCTCATTGGGGAGGAAAACAGCCAGGCTCCAGTTTGTTGATACAGAGATCTACCGTGGCCTCTCCTCTCTTCCTTCCTTCCCGTTCTCCTTCTTCAAGTGTAGCCTGGGCTACACAGTGAAACCCTGTCACAGCCAACCGACCAAACGACAAAGATTCAGTGCTGAGTTGACTGAAGCAAAGAGGTTCACATAAAAACAGCCAGGCAAAGGTAGAGAAGCTGTCCTGGAACTAGCTCTTGTAGACCAGGTTGGTCTCAAACTCACAGAGATCCGCCTGCCTCTGCCTCCCGAGTGCTGGAATTTAAAGGCATGAGCCACCAACGCCCGGCTGGCCTACTCTCTTAAAGAACCTAGGACCACCAGTCCCAGGGATGACACTACCCGCAATGGGCTGGGCCTTCCTGCATCAACCGTTAATTAAGAAAATGTCAGGTGGTGGTGGTGGTGGCGCACACCTTTAATCCCAGCACTCTGGAGGCAGAGTGGATCTCTGTGAGTTCGAGGCCAGGCCGGTCTACAGAGCAAGTTCCAGGACAGCCTCCAAAGCTACACAAAGAAACCCATCTCAAAAACCAAAGAGGAAAGAAAATGCTTTATAGCTGGATCTTATGGAGGAATTGAGGTTCCCTCCTTTCGGATAACCCTAGCTGTGTCGGGCTGGCTTAAGACACTGTCCCTATCCTCCCCCACTCCCCCTAGGCAATGCCTCAGCCTTGGCATTGGGGAACTCTGGAGCTGGGGTTATGAGCTGCAGAGCATGGGTGCTGGGTCCTCTGCAAGAACACACATGCTCTTAGCCTCTGAGCGGTCTATCCAGCTCCGACTCCGGCTGGTCATGTCAGAGAGCATCCTGCAAATGTCATGTTTATAGGTGGTTGTGAGGGCAGAGGAGGAAATCATGAAGATTGTCTTTCGGGGGTAGGGGGTGGGAGGTGGGGAGTATTGCTGTCTATGACGGCTGCCAGTCTCCTACAGGATCCCCAACTTGGAATGCTCTGCCTCCGTTTCCAGTGTCTTTGACAAACCACCTGCCAGGGCTTCCTGCCACCTTCAGGCACCCCTTAATCTCAGAAATCAAAGCATTGCTTGCTGCTAGGATCGATAGTGGAGCCAAGAAACAGAAGGAGCATGCTCAGAAGGAGGGGGCTGGGCTGGAGGCTTAGCATGTGGCCAGCCAGAGCGGGGGCGGGGCGGACTCTTCGCAGCCCCTCCCTGCCTGGCGGATGTGGCTGCGGTGCTTAGAAAAGCGATCCCCGCTCTAGCAGTATTTGAGGGGCTCAGCTTGGTCTCGCCCGCTTCTCCACCCTCTGTAACAGTCCCGGTGCGAGCCCACTTTGTGCCTTAGCCAGCACGGGAGGATGGCCAGTTTGCAGCATCAGGGAGCTGCTGTCCCGCCGTACTTTGTAAAAGGGCTTTCTGCCCGTGTTCCTGGGTCCGCCCAGAACTGGCTTGTGCATCTTTCTGTTTGGCGGCACAGCACACACGGGCACAGGCAAGCTAAGTACATCACAGTGTTTTTTAAAAAAAAGTCTAACTGTATAAAAAAATGCTCTAAATGAAATTTAATGTGAAATCTTTTGTTGTTGTTCATGTTTGACTTAGGATGCCCCAAATCTTGAGCGACCACTTAGCAGAGCCAAAGGAAAGAGAAGCAGGTCCCATCGCGCCCCAGTGGAGGACAGACAGAAGGCAGAGCAGCGGATCTTGCCGGAACAGGTAGCCTCTGTGTGTGTGACTGTGAAGAAAGGGAGTCAACCTCGTCTTTGATCTTTCTCTGTTTAATGTCTCAGCTCATACCCTGGCTAAGCAAGCATGAGTGGCGGGGGACGTGCGATCGGAAACGGCAGTTGAGTAGCCCCAGGGAATTAAAGCTGTGAGAACATAAAACTATAGCAAAGTTTTGTTTTTTAAGTCCGTCACATTCTGCCATCCGAAGTCGCATGGTGAATTAAAATCACCCCCAAAGAAATGGCGCGGAGTCTATGAACAAAGGCTCCTTGTTCCACGGCGCCCTCTGGTGGAGCAGAAAGAGAGTACCATAGCCGAAGTGAGAGAGACCGCTTGGCTCCAACCAGGCTCTACCCTAATGCTTCCCTCACCCCCACGCCAGTGACCTCGACACCAAGGATAAAACTGTGAAAATCTCCCTGTGTCCTGTGAGTCCACCCTTGAGTTTCAAAATCCAAAAACTTGAGATCTGGATGAGAGAGATTGCGTCTACTGCAGGTTCATGTCGAGACCAGGGATCTGAGTAGGAGGAGCCTTCCCACGCCCTCAGGATCCCCTGCTAGTGATGGAGGTCTGGCCAGGCAAGCAGTTTGGGAGCTTAGTTTCTCTGAATGAGGCCAGCGGCCACTGGAGCAGGTGGTGGCTCGGGGACACTGGGTAGGGAGATTTAGAAGTGGCTGTTGCAGATATGGGGCAGCAACAGGGCTGGAGGAAGCAGGGTCACTGCTAGGCATGTGGGGTTGGGGGGTGTAGCCAGGGGCAGAGGCTCTCTCTCCTTTGGGGCCAGGGAAGTGCTGCTTTACCCCTCTGCTTGGCACAGCTGTGAAAGGACTGGGGTGGGTTGAAACGCTTGGGGACCCGCGCACCAGTGCAGCCAGGAGAATGGGACGGGCAAAGACGGAGAAAGGACTGGAGACAATGAGCCAGCCCAGGGGTCTTAGGAGCCGCGCCGCTGTTACTGACATGAAAAGGAATCCACTGGATCCTCTTGCTCCTCGCCTGGAACACTGAGATGTTTGGAAGCCCAGGACACAGTCACAGTTTTCTGCATCTCACAGCTGACTAGATTTCTAACCAAACATAAAGAAGAAAGCACCCCTTTTTGTTCACAGATTAAAGGAGACTAATAAGAGATTTCTGAAAAAACATAAAACCTCCATGCGTCGGTACTAGAAAAAAAATTATAGATTTGGTCTCCAAAACTACATGCCCATCCCACGGCTCCTGGAAGCCCACACACATGCACACATACACACATATGAACACACACACAGAGACCAAGAAGACAAAAAAAAAAAAAAAACAGACAGAAGCCAGGCTTCCCTAGTGTAGGGTGGAGGATGGTGAGAGCTTCAAGGCAAAGTAGCCCTCTGTTAAAAAACAAAAATCATTTTAGGCTGGGGATACAGCTCAGTGGGTAAAACACACTCTTTGCAAGTATAAGGATGTGAATCCTGCCCCCCCAACCCAAATAAAGCAATCAGGTGCAGTGGTCCACACCTGTGATCCTAGAACCGGGAAGACGGTGACAGCAGGATCCCTGGGGCTCACTGGCAAGCTTAGCCTACTTGGTGAGCCCCAGGCCAGGGAGGAACACGCATTGAATTGCACGCACACGAACATGCATACATGCATTTACTATGTAATAAGGAGGAACAGGGTTGGAGAGACGACTCCACAGTTAAGAGCGCTTGTTGCTCTTCCAGAGGACCAGGCTTGAGTCTCAGCAGCCACGCGGTGCCTCACAGCCATCCTTAAATCCAGTTCCAGGGGATCCGGCACCCTCTTTTCTGTCTCTGCAACAACCAGGAATGCAAGTAGTGCGCGCACACACACACATGTGCAGGCAAAACACCCTTTCACAGTTAGGGTTTCTGTTGCTGTGATAAGACACCATGGCCCAAACGCCTTGGGGAGGGAAGGGTTTATTTCATCTTAACAGCTTGCACTCCTTCATCTAGGGAAGTCACTGCAGGAAATCTCAAGGCTGGCACCTGGAGGCAGGAGCTGGCGGATAAGCCACAGAGGGGTGCTGCTTGGTGCCTTGACTCCCATGAGTCATTCACCCTTTCTTAATAGCACCCAGGACCGCCAGCCCAGAGGTGGCGCCACCTACACCAGTCATCAATCAAGAAAAATGCACCACAGTCTTGCCCGCAGGCCAATCTGGGGGGGGGGTATTTTCTCAGTTGAGATTTCGTCCCCAAATGACCCTAGCTTGTGTAAAGTTGACATAAAAGCCAGAACAACGCTCATATACACATAACTTTTTTTTTCAGACAGGGTTTCCCTGTGGCTTTGGAGGCTGTCCTGGAACTCGCTCTTGTAGACCAGGCTGGCCTCGAACTCACAGAGATCCACCTGTCCCTGCCTCCTGAGTGCTGGGATTTAAAGGTGTGCGCCACCAACGCCTGGCTTCATAACTTTTTTTTTTAATTAAAATACAAGAGGAACAAGTTAAAGGCCTGGCCTGTGGTGGTCAACTGCGCAACAGCTGTCCCATGTCCTACAGGAGGTCCCTCTCAGAGCCAGCCACTCAGGTCAGGAACAGGATTGCATTTTCTAAAAGAGCTACAGAAATAAAGCCTCCAACCTAGAACCTTACTTCTACAGTTCTTCCCAGGTGCTATTGGCCCAGGGACAAAATGACCCGGGGACAGGGACAGCGTTATTAATGACAGCATTATCTGTAAGGTCACAAGATGGGGTGAAGTGTCACGCACAGCAGGTTGGGCCATGAAACCGTGAGCAGAGGTGAGGGTTTCTATGCCTGGGTGTGGGGGGATCTCCAGAGCCCTGGGTTGCTGCTCTAGTTTGGTGGTGTGAGCCTGGGAGAGCAGGGCCTGAAACCGAGGTGGACTGCAGTCTCGTTTCTTAGCCAACTTTATTCAGAGCATCAGACAATTTATACCCCGAGGGTAAAGAAGAGTCAACTGGGTTAAACTAAGGACGAGCTGAATGAGCAGCCCCCACTCCCCCCCTTAGAGGCAGATCAGCAAATGACAGCCAGTTGCACCCGAATGTGAACTCTGCACAAAAGCACATTCCAAGAACAAGTCTGTGCTTTGAAACCGAGGTCGCAGACTCGTCTTTTCTTGGCCCGTACTCACAATCACTCCTAACTCTCCTCACATGACTCCATTCCTGTGTTCAGACAGCCTTGCGTCAGCGGAAAGCGGGCAGCGGCAACCTGGGCAGCATCCGTGGAGAGACGAGAATATACTTAGGTGTGTTTGTGAGAGGACACCGACTGGGGTGGTTTGCATGGGACATGCCCATCCGGACTTGGACCCCGGTTGGTGGTGGTGTTGGGGGAGGGACTATGAGAGGTGCAGCTTCGCAGGAGGAAGTAACATCATCACTGGAGACGCTCAGCTTTGAGGGTCCTTACCCTGCTTCTGGTTGGCGCTCCGTCTCACCTTCGTGGTTGAAGATGTGACCTCTCAACTTGTAGCTCTGGCCTGCCACTCCTTGCTATGCTTCCCCGACGCTGTGAACTCCCCCTCTGAAACCGTAAGCCCAGATGAACTTTTCATGGCGGTTTTTTATCACAGCAGCAGAGAAAGGAGCAATAAAGTAAACCAGGTACTCGTGAAGACAGGAACCTGTAGAGAGCTAAAGGAAAATACGATATTTTCCACGTGTCGACAGGAAAGAATTCTACAGCCAGATTCCTGAACCCAGTGAGAATGCCCTCCAGGAATGAGTGGGGAATTAAGAAGGAAGGGAGGTCATGATTTCCTGTTTTATTATTTATTTTTATTTTATGTATATGGGTGTCTTGTACACCACCTGCATGCCTGGTGCCCCAAAAAGAGGCGGGTGGATCTCCGTGAGTTCAAGGCCAGCATGGTCTACATAGTAAGTTCCAAGACAGCCTGTCTCAACCTGCTGTCAAGACTCTGTCTCAAACCCCTGCCCCCCAGCCACAAAAAAAAAAAGAATTTTACATTTTTGGTAAAGGCCTCAATGTGTTTCCCCTCTAATGGCTGGGAACTACCAGAGCCTAAGTGTCCAAAAGCCACATAGACTGAAGAATGAAAATGTTCCTATCTGCAACTTTACAAGCAAAGTCCTTAGATATAAAACCACAAAAGGTGACTAGGATCCTGTGTGCTGGAAGCTACATAAGGCTGCTGGGAGAAACCAAAGTCTTAGCAAACCGGGAGAGATGCTCCTAACCCGCCCCCCCCCCCCCCCCCCGCACCTTCCCCGAGTTCACAGGCAGAAGCTTACTCGCCAGGTCACAACATTCAGTAAGAGTCCGGGTGCCTAAGAAGCTGTTTAATCATGACAGCCCTGGCCTGGAAAATGAGATTAACAACTTCATGAAAGGCGTGAGGAGGTGAGCTTGCTCGCCCACCCGTTACCATGGACATGGATCCCGGAGAGGCGAAGTGCCAGAAGCCATCTTGGAAGCAAGCGGAGGGCAGCTTTCCTTAGGGCCACACCTTGACCTGGGGCCCAACGTGCAAAGAATACAAATAAGCTTGTACCTCGTCTGTGGCGATTCGCTACGGCAGCACCAACAGGCCGAGACCATTAGGTAGAGGCGATGTTTGCTCTGCCTGGACAGGTGCAATGCCAGCTAGACATTGTATGGGTAGAAGAGAGTATTCCGAAATGTACGGGGCTAAAGGGAAGACTACAGCAAGGGGGGAGGCAGGCAGACCGCCGGCTTTCAACGTGGGAATTACCATAAACCCGCACAACGAAGACTGTGCAGGGCTGGGGGAGAGGAGCCACAGACAGGATCGAAAGAACTAGGCAGTGAGCTGCAGTCTCACTGGGGATGGATCTGGGGAAATGTATGCTAGGCAGGTGCTCTGCCATTGAGCCACACTCCCTACGCTGCCCAAACAACTGTTAACCATAGTTACAGACAGTTGTGAGCCGCTGTAAGTGTGGGTCCTGGGGATCGAACCCAGGTCCTCTGCAGGCAGCCACTGTTCTTAACCTCCGAGCCCCCATCTCTCCAGCCCCCCTGA